CCTGGCAACATGACATGTGATAACCCACAGGTGACCACGACTCAATAAGCGTCCATGTCGTTTCTGTTCGTTTCTCTTTTTTTAAAGTTTTAGTAGAGGTTATACGGTGCTCGCAACAGCATAAGGTCATATGAGCACCAAGGGGTGGATGTCAACAGAGAAGTCCTTACAGGGAATCAGACTTACTCTGCTCACCTCTCTAGCTTCAACAGCACAAAGTCTGCTTCGACTTTCAAGGCACCCCGGAAATAGTGGGTCACAAGAGTGTGACAAACATATAAAAGAAGTAGAGGAAAAAAGACAATAGTAAGGATTAGAAAAAAAAAAGCAGCAGTTCCCTGTTGTAGATCAGGCACAGTTATGAGTGTGACATTGATGAATCAGCCCATTTACAATTCTACTTTGGGAATGGCCTCAAGACACTTCAGTCAGTGGCACCGACCCGGGGGGAGGGGGGGGGGGGGGGGGGGGGAGCCGATCATGCCAATGGGGGGGGGGTAATCAGTGAAAGAAAACTTTAAAGCCATAAAAACATTACTTGATACTGACAGAGAATATGCATTTAGAGAAAAGATTCACAACATTTAGAGATGACATCAGGAGATAAGTAGTGTCTAGTGTGGAGTCCATTTTCCGACTTTTAGGAGTTTTTATCATTGTCAAAGCTGTTACCAAGTCATCTCTGTGAACCCAAAACAATATGTTGTGTTGTATGCCCGTATTACAAAGAGTTTCTTTTTCATCTTCTTTTTACTCTGGAATTCAGTGCTGTCAAAGTGAATTTAAATGCCAGAACAGGAAAAGTGAAGTTAGTACAGGAAAATACTTAAATGCAATATAGTGACAATTAGCAGGAAGACCCTGGGGTGGAGGCTGGAAAGGAGAGATGAGCAGCTATGGACATGTGCCGCCTGCTATGATTGTAGCTCTGGATCCAATTAATCCAAGAAATAGTGACAATAATTAGTTGAGTGTAACCAGTTAGGCGGTGGACTCACCCAGTAGACAGCGGCGTTTTGGCACCCTGGCGAGCGCTGCGTGGCTGAGGCGTGGGGCTCTTGTTGCGTGGGGTGGTGGCTCGGCCCGGGGTCAAGTTTTGCTGGGGGTGTGGGGCGCCCGGCCGAGGCCCACCGGGGGATGACGGGTACTGCCTGGGGGTGTGTGGGGACATGTCTGAGGAACGGGGAGAGGAGACCGACATATGAGCCATCTGTCTTTAAACAGGTAGTAATGAACAGGGAGAGGAGACCGACATATGAGCCATCTGTCTTTAAACAGGTTGTAATTACGCCATGCATGACTCACTGACATTTCTTCATCTAGTTATGCATTAATCAATTTAAAGATTTCTTTTAGTCTTTTTTTTTGTAAAAGAGTTTTACGGCACTTGCAACACAATAAGGTCATATAAATTCTGAAGATTAGACGTGTTGCAAAAGAGTAACAAACACAACAAAGAAGAAAAGATCAGGACCATAGACGTTTGATAGGAAAGAAGGAGCACACATCAAAGCACCCGCAAATCACCCACTTCAAATCTTTGTCCCCTTCTTTTCGCTTTACAATTTCCTTACGCATTTCTTTCTATTTTTGGTTAAAGACTGAGTCTAGAAACAATGATCTCCCACATACTCACACGACCTAATGCAGTTGTGAGCACTTTAAAACTTTTACCAAACTAAAACTGAAGAAAAACTGCTGAGCAATTATTAGTACATAATGCATAATATGTACGTCATTCAAAACATTTAGAACTTCTACTTTGGAGATAGTCATAAACTATTTTTTAAAACAAAAAAAGACACATATTTACATAAACACGTGCAATCTTGGACAAAAGCACACAGGACATAAACAATTAATGTCAAACAGACCGACAAAAACTGTTTATAAATGATGGAATTCAATCATATTGTTGGAAGGAAATTTTGTCAGGGTACCTTTAAAATTTCATCACCCTATATAAGAAAAACCAAAGGAAATAGTTCGAAACACAAGACAGAAAAATGTTTCAAACATGTGAAATGTTGTTGCGTTATATAACACGGACACTATAGTCAGGGAAAAGATTAAGTGGGAAGTGTTTACATCAAAGTATCACAGACAACATTTACGATAGGAAGACATGGTCTTTTCCATTTCAAAATTTCTTTGCTAAAACAAAAATATTACAATATTAAATTCAATAATAGATTGGAAAGACACATTTGTTTCATATTTCTATACTCAATTTTTTTTAAAGAAGCTTGTGAATCAAAGGTGAGAAGAAGAATTCAACTTAAACAGAAAGTTTTGTAAGATGGCAAGTAGTATTGTACTGTCATAATGATTTACATTTTTTCATTCCTTATTCTTAACAAAAGATTTGCTGAAAAACATCATAAATTGTGTGTGCAACGTACAATCTTCTTCCCACACTGAGCAAAGGATATATTTGTGAGTGAAGTATCAATACTGTCAGTGAAACATAGGTTAAATATGTGTCCACGCACAAAGACAGTAATCAGTGAACTCATACATTACAGTAGAGTGTCTGACTAATTGCTGCTTCAATACAATAGAATATACGCCTAGGCTTGTAAACATCCTTTGGTGGGGGGGGGGGGGGGATCAAACGTCTTTTCTTCAAAAGCAAGTCTTTCCTCAAGCAAAAACGGCAAAGGGTACGAGGATACAAGAAGGAAGGAGGATTCCTTTCTACAGGTGTCTTAAAAAATGTCTCGATGATGCTCTCAATACTAAGGAGTGGTTGTCACACTCATTCAAAACTATCAGGAACTTCGTGAGGAAAGAAACTTTCAACTAAGCATTCATCTTAAAAAAACAATAAACCAGCCAAACATGAGGAGAAGAATAACACTCCAAAAAGAAACAAACCTTTAGTGCATGCATAGTACCAAATGAATGAACAGTCCACACTACATTTTTGCGTAAGTGGTGCAAAATGTTTATACTTTGATTTATTTCCTGTTCCTCTTTTGATGCTAAATCTGCATTTCTCACAGTCCAAACACATGCAATCATGACCCAAGGATAGGAATTAGAATGGGTTTATGTAGGTTTACTTTGACATAGATTGCATTTTCCACTTGTCCATGCAATAGCAAGAAAAAGGAAGTATAACTATCTTGTTGAGAGACAGGAAAAGATAGCCGTGTAGAGGTCTATGGAGTGAGTCAACACAAAGACATACACAAAAACATCCACAAAAACATCCACAAAAACATCCACAAAAACATCCACAAAAACATTCAAAAAAACATCCACAAAAACATCCACAAAAACATTCAAAAAAACATCCACAAAAACATCCACAAAAACATTCAAAAAAACATCCACATAAACATCTACAAAAACATTCAAAAAAACATCCACAAAAACATTCAAAAAAACATCCACAAAAACATCCACAAAAACATTCAAAAAAACATCCACAAAAACATCTACAAAAACATTCAAAAAAACATCCACAAAAACATCCACAAAAACATTCAAAAAAACATCCACAAAAACATTTTAAAAAACATCCACAAAAACATACACAAAAGCATCCACATTCACAGTAGACAGAACAGGACAACAGAAACACAGAAAAGGAAAAGAAAAAAAAAAAGACCCACTAAAACGCATCCATCAATTATTCCCTTGCCTCGAGTTTGGAAAAACTTAGATTAATGCATAAAGCTGGCTGTTTATTCTTTTGAGATCCAATCTCTTTTTTTTTTGGGGGGGGGGGGGGGTGTTAAGATACAAATAAATATGCGGCATATAATACTGTTCGTTTTTCAACAATTGACAGTTTCATTGTTTTCTCACCATGCATAAACAAATGCACGCATCTAGCAGAGAACATGAAAAGTTCAAAACTTAACTATTTTATTCACATATCATGTTATAATTAGTGGATTTATTCATGACACTTGCTTTTCATCGGTTGATTTTTTTAAAAAAGAGTATGACCGACAAACACATGCAGAGAGTAATAGAAAAATGTTGCTCAAACTGATATCACGTCAAAGTAAAAAGTTCTCAAGAATTGTTCAAAGTCTGTACAAATAGATGTGGTGATGCTTCCTTACCTGGACACTCAAGTATGTCATCTTAGAGATGGATATAAGCATGGAAAGACAATCAACTTTTCATGGTGCTACTTTAAGAACAAATGTTTCTTCCTACAATAACCTGTGTTGAATTGCTTACCTGCTATTTATGTCCACTTAAGGCATATTATTTCTCTGGTTAACATTTATCTCAATCTCAAAACTTTTCCAATCTTCTTGTTTTAGTAGAGGTTTTACGGCGCTCGCAACTGCATAAGGTCATATGAGCGCCAGAAGAATAGAGGTGTTACAAGAGAGTAACAAACATAAAAAAGAATAAGGGGAGATAAGGACGATAGATGTTTGATAGGAAAGAAGAAGCAAACCACACCAGAGCACCCGCCAACCACCCACAATGTACAAATTCAAAAGACTAAATATGACATAAGTACTTACAGTGAAAAACTCATTTCTAAAAAGCCATGATGGTACTTGACCATATCTTTATATATAAGAAAATACACTAATGGAACATGCATGTTATTTTTTACAAAGCAGGTTGATTATTGTCACAAGCAAGCAGATAAGCCAGCAGACAGTGGCAAGGCATGTTACTGAGAACAGGAAAAAATTAAATCCTCATAACCCTTCATGGTTTTATGTGCAAGTCTTTCTTAAAAATCCAACCACACAGAACTTGATCTAAATACTCATTTTTGCATTGCTTTTCATCACAACAAAGTCTTATAATAACAGTTTTTAAATACATCGGCTGCCTTCCCCAATATCATGATGCTGTTATATTACTTCACAATCTGTGCTATCACAGTATTGGCTTGCCTTTTAAAAAAAACAACTGGAAAGAACGACCCATTGCCTTCCATTCCCTGATCACCCTGAATAAAATCTATTCTAGTGAATCCACTGTATTTTTATCAGAGTGTTGTCAAATTTCCCCTTTTAAGATTTTGAGAATTTTGGTACAACTTGCGATGTCTCTTCATGAAAATCTTCATAACACACTGAAATACCAAAACTGCAGAGTCGTCTATTTATTACATTACTCAACAAAGTCAAGAACTTGAAGAGCAACTAAAAAAGAGTTAAATCTGAACAGAAATTCAAAGCTACAGAAAATCAAAATTTCACCCTCAGAGAATGCACACCTGTCTCCCACCACACAGTATCAGAGAAGACTCAAAAGACAAAAAAGATTGTAAGACATTCCAGCAGGACAGGAGGAGTGTTTGAGTGTGTCAAAGAGCATGTCCACTGAGAACATAAAGAAACAAATTGAGGACAGAATGCAAGTAAGATTCTAACCAGTAGCCACAGGACCAACCCATGAATATGAAGAAAAAAAAAAGGGGGGGGTTAAGACAAAAGACAAAAGTCATTCATGCTGTTCGTATTCAGGTTAGAGGCATTGTATCTACTATCTGCATTCGTGACATCAAGAACCCTCTGTGGAATAAGGCCAATCGTTGGATAAGGCAAAAAAATTAAAAGCTCATTGACATCCTCTATCATAAATAGGCCACAACAATTTTATGACTTAAAAAATCTCTGCGCTGGGAATGGTAACAGTACTTAAACATTTCTCAATGACAAATTCAAAAGCTTTGAAAGATTCTTTTTTTAACCCAAATGGCTGCTGGATCGGAAAAGTAAAGTAAAAAGTAAAGTAAAGATTCTTTTTGGGTTTTTTTTTTCAATGTTTAGGAGGCTGCATGATGCTTCAGTAGAAAAAAATGCACACCTGAACATGTATATTCATTCTTTGCAATATCGACAGGCTGAAGGGCTAGAACTCAGATGACCGCTGGATCAGAAAAGTAAAGTAACACGTATATTTCAACAAAACAGTTCTGCTCCTTCAGGAAAAATTTCTCCACACTTTAAAACAAAATTTCGAATTCCAAAATAAGTAAGAAGGAAGTTCATCTTTCACACTCATTTACATGAACTCAAAAAAAAAAACCCCAAAAAATTCCAAAAAGAGGATGTCAAAGAGAGCAGGCACAACATGCAATTGTCAACCGCAATGAGCCGTGCAAGAGAAATAGAGTCTGTGAAGACAGAAAGTAAAAAAAAAGGAAAATACCTAGTCTTCTCCTGGGACCTGTAGACAGCACAAGATTGGGTCTATCAGGTCTACACATATGGCTAGTAAATATTCAAAGAAATAACAATGACAGCAAAGACTGAATTATTAGACACATCGGTCTGTTTGGGGTTTTTTTTCCTTTCTATTTTCTTTTTGTACAATCAGATGCACACAATAAAAAGAAGCATATTTAAAGTACCACTAATTTCAGTGTGTCATTTAAACAAGAAGGATAGTAAAAAGGGGAAGGATTTTACTATCCTTCTCCTTTTCTGCAAAACAAAAGGATGTCAATCAAAAACACATTCACATCCAATTTGTTGATGTGTACTGGCCTGCCTCATCATCCAAAGGAGTGAAAAAAAAACAGAGTGTGTCTTTTAATTCATTGTCTTTGCCATAGCCATGTAAAAATGCTACAGAATATGAACAAAATACATCCACAAACATAGGATAAGCAAAAAGTCTGTTTAAAAAGACACTTCATATTTAAAAAGAAAACAAATCGAATATATCATAAAAGCATGTGGACCTCCACTTCAAGGTTTACATGTACAAATGGAGAAATGATTTTATGCCTTTGGCTTAATTTGCTTAAATTAATATTATCATTACTGTGCTAGCTAGAAAAAAGCTATCCCCTTACATTGTGGCACTGCCAATATCAAAACATAACGCCTAATTCAAAAGTGAAGCGACTATTTTTTATATGCAGGTTGGAGCTCTAAACAAGGCTTCTCGATATTTATAGAAACTACAATTCTATTCATTTCATATCAGTAAAGGCCTTTTTGAAAACAAACTGCAACTTACAAAACACATTAAGGAATTACTACTAAGGATGTACGCTGAAATAAGTGAAACAAGAAATATATTCATATGTGATCTAAAAGAGAAAAAAATCGGTATCACCTGTTATCGACAAAACGGAGAAAAGATTACAACAAGAAACTGTCTACACTTAAGTCTAAAGACTATAGTCTTAATATAAACAACCTAATATCAAGTATAATTATGAAAACAACAACTGGAAATAAATGCAAAATACAACAGAGGAGTACATATACGTTCGTAAAATTAAAATGAAAGAAGAAACACAAAAAATATTTGAAGAAAGCAAGGTACAAAACACCAGTCTGAGAAAACAGAAATAAAGCGCAAAAATATATCGAAATTTGGACAAAACAGCCAATCACATCACTAGAGAAATAAGAAACATCTAAATTATAGACAGAATATGAAAAGTCAGTACAGTCCATAATATATTCTTAAGCAACATCTATTTCAGAAGAAAGGAAAAACACACACACATACACCGGTATGCACGTCAACGTTACAAGCAAAAAGTAGCCAGAATACACACACACGGCAGGCTTTGTCACTTACCAGCTGAAGGCGGCGGACCGCGTGGTGACGACGTCATTTGTCGCAGCTGTTTCTTCGCCTTCTCTGTGGCCACTTTGTTGAAGTGGTCGCGCAGGGCGTGGAAGTTCAGGTATTTCTAAGCATAGGACAAACAGACAATTAGAAAACAATGATAAGTCTTTGACTTGTCTCAAACCTGGGCAGAGAAAACATTGGGATGAAATTCTTTTTGAACCAAGTAAACACGGCAGAGCACGTTTCGCCATGAGCATGTTAAGACAGCTCAGACAGGAAAGAAACAAAAGTTTTTTGTTTTCGTTATGAGTTTGACGGCACTTGCAACACAATAAGGCCATATAAATGCCGAAGATTAGAAGTGTTACATGAGAGTAGCAAACAGAAAAAAAGGAGGGACGATCAGGAAAATGGATGTTTGATAGTAAAGAAGTAGCAAACCACACAACTAAAGCACCCACCAACCGTCCACTGAATTACGTATAAAAGGAGCTGAACAAACAGCACATCCCTCAAGGCAAGAAAAAAGTGATTATGTTTAGAAAACGTTTGTTTTCTTTTTTAAAATACCATGCTAAGGCCTCTTTACAATGTGATTTGCTACATAAAATACTTATAATCTCAGATCTTCTTCACTAAATTTTAAGGGAAGTGAGTATTTCATTTCAACAAAATAGCATTCACCTGCAAGTCTACCCTCCACAGAAACGCTTGAACAAGACATTTACTTTAGTTTTAGCAAGAGTTTTAAAGTGCTTGCAACATGGATATGCCAAATAAGTGCCGAAAAGTAGAGATGTTGCTGGCAAGTAACATACAGAGATAAGAAAAAAGAGAGAAAAGTGATCATAGATGTTTGATAGGAAAGAAGGAGCAAACCACACCACAGCATCCTCCAACCACCCACTGAACGAGATAAATACAGAAAATCACCTGCCTGACAAGACCCAAAAAAATATTCTTTTCTCAATGAAGGCAACAAAGCAATAGAAACATTTTTCAAAAGGCAAAGAAAAATTTGAAAGCGCCTTCATCCTTGTGTGTATACACCCAAAAAATTTCAGACACGAGCAACGAATAATCAAACTAAACAAAAAAATTATACATCAACTTGGATCAAGAACTAAAAGAAACGAAGAAGACATAATCTGTGTCAAAATATAAACAAACAAAAATCGAAAAGAAAAATTTCTTTAAAATACGAAGCATATATTTCTCTCTCCTTGTTACATATATATATAAAAAGCAATGGGGGAAAAAATGACAACCCTCCAAACAGATATAGATTAAATAGCCAAAACCCTAGCAAGCTCAAATATGATCCTTGAATACCTACAACTTGAGATCCTTTGAGAGCTAAAAAAGAAGTAGAGATTAAAAGAGAGGGCAGACTGCAGTGGTGACATGACCATTGTCTAGTTTACCACAAGTCAGCAAAACAATGGCCACATTCCAGCAAAAACAAAATGGAACAACAGCGAGACTGAATAACTGAATAGAAGAAAACGAAGCAGACCACCGCAACAGTACACTCACCAACCACTCGTTCAAAACAAACATATCTGACAGCATCTTTTTAAGTGTGCTAAAAAAAATAACAACAAGTAACAGACAAATCCTACTCACTTTAATTATTTCTCTTCATATTCTATAGCCACAATACCCCCCGGGGCAGTGCCACTGACTGAAGTGTTTTTAGGCCATTCCCAAAGGGGGGAATTTAAGCATAGTAGAATTGTAAATGGGCTGATTCATGTCACGCTCATAACTGTGCCTGATCTACAACAGGGAACTGCTGCTTTTTCTTTCCTGATCCTTACTATTGTCATTTTCCTCAACTTCTTTTGTATGTTTGTCACTCCCTTGTGACCTGCTATTTTGGGGTGCCTTGATAGTCGAAGCAGACCTTGTGCTGTTGAAGCTAGAGAGGTGAGCAGTCTAAGTCTGATTCTCTTTAAAGACTTCTCTGTTGACATCCACCCCTTGGCGCTCATACGACCTTATGCAGTTGCGAGCGCCGTAAAACCCTCTACTATAAAATATATAGCCACACTACGTGCACTACAAATTGCTGTAACTTCTTTCTACTTAGGTCATAAAAGAAAATAGGGAACTTCAACGCTTGTCTCTGCATATACCATGTCATTAAGTCTTCATTTCTTTCCCATCAAAGTGACACGACAAAGCAAGATTAGTATTGTGGGCTCGAGGATCAAACCATTTCCTTGCCATCATTGCCATAACCTAACCCCTCTTGTCCGATTTGCTTTAAATAAAGACAGCATCCCATGACTGTCAATTACGTTTTATTGAACAAAAGTAGAGCAATCATTCTCCTTTATTATTCGGGTCTATTTCTCTATGCTCTTTTCTTATCTTGCTGACTCTTCCCTCCCCCCCCCCCCCTCTTTCTGTCTCTCTATCAACTTTTCCACTCTCTCTCTCTCTGAACTTTTCCCCTCCCTCTTCGCTCTCTCTCAACTTCTCCCACTCTCTCGCTCTCCCTCTCTCCCCCTCCCTCTCTGTCTCCATCCTCACCTGCACATGTCCTTGCCTCTGTGTGTCTAACATTGACAGCTTGTTCTTGAGCACCTGGTCGCTGATGCCTGTCTGGTTCTGCACACGCCACGAGACCACAGCACCACATCAAACAACATCGCACAGACCAACAAAGTTTGGACCAGTGGAAACACAGCGCACCCCACCACAGAATCAGGAGTAGTGGGCAACACAGAAGGTTTTTGTATGCCGTTGGATTTAGGACGTTTTTTTGTTTTTTTAGGGAGGAGTGTGCAGGTAGGTGTGAAGGGGAAAGGGGTCATGTGAAATGTGAGTTTTCGGGGTAAAAAATTAGGTTCATATGTCACATTTATTCAATTCAAATAATGTTTGTTTAATAATAGTGTTATTTTTAGAAGTGTGCATATGTTCATTTAGGGCCAGGTTGGGTGGGTACGGTCAGAAAAAGAAAGGGAGGGGGAGAGAAAAAAGAAAATAAACATGAATAAAACCAACTTGCATCAATGTGTAAACAAACAATTCACTAGAACCATAAACCATAATCTATTCTGAAGAAACTGAAATAAATAAACAGAACTAACATTACCACAACAAAAAAGAAACAAGTGTTAAGTGGGAACAAATTTTTTTTCAAAAGTTACAGACAAAATAAAATAACTACAAACGTAACTGCATCCATTAACAGTGAATACCATATGTTTACGACACAATCTGGGGCGCTTTGATTTTTCTGAAACAGTCGCGTCGCCTTGACAACCACGCTGGCCATTCCGTTCCCTTTCACAATGAATCCCGTGATCGAGAGGACTCTTGTTCTTATTTCTGTCACACAGACTCTGACTTCTGCGCATGCCACAGGGAGACTTCTAGGAAAATCACAATTAGAAAAGTTTTCCAGTGCGCTGTTGAGCATATGAGCACAAGACACAGCATTGCCCAGCTCTATTGGGTCACAGCTTTTGAACAAATAGAAGTACCAATTTTCTATCCTTTTCAATGTGTCACCACTTTAAAAAGTGAAAACACACTCGTATATCCATTCCATTGCAGTTTTTATTATTTTTCCGAGAAGAGAACGTTTAAAAAAAAAATCAAAAGTAATTTATAGTGAAGGCAGGAAATGGTAATTTGAAGTGAGTGAGCACTTTTTCTTTAAAGTGTTGAAAATTGCTAAGGAATATTACTATTGGAAGTGGGGGGAAGGGTGAAGGGGGAAGAAACATTAATCATTATTATACAAACAGTTAATTTGTCTAGCATTTTCTTATTTTCAGCTTCATACAAAACTTTACCACTAAAACATTATTGATTTTATCACATTTCATTAAACCACTGTGCTTTCTGAAATCATTATTTTCCGAAAATGGTTCCCAACTCACACCTTTGTTCGGGTATAAACAGCAGAACAGAGACATGACAACGATCATTGAAACATTGGGGGAAAAAGCAAGACAGACCACAAGACACAAAAGAAGGACAGTACCCAGGAAGGGCACACTCAGGTACGGTACAACATTCGAATGAACAGACCCTGTGTCCACCAAACACCCCTCACAGACAAAAAATAAATTATGAGTAGCATGACCAGCAAACTGCAAACTGACCGGAGGGATTCCTTTCTTCTCCACATGCTCCTGCAACAAAGCAGCCAGCTCCGTCCGCATCACAGCCAGAGTCGGATTTTTCCGCAGCTCCTCCAAGAACTGACTCGCGTGCAAGGACTGTGTCCCTGTTTGTCTGTGACGAAAGAAAGAAAAAAAGGGGACAAATAAATAGGGACACGGAGTGTATTGCAGTCAGGCTGTTTTAATGAACTGAAAGATAAGATATGGTAAGATAAGATAATACTTTATTATCCCATACAGAAATTTTCCTTGGCTGTACAGGGCCGTAAAACACATGCAAGTATACATAAACAATTTAAATTATATATATTACTCTCATTAAAATTCAATATGAAAGGAGAAGTAAAGCTGACAAAATGTACATTTACATCAAATGCATCATTCAACCACATGCAGATTTACTATTCGAGAAGCTGATTAATGCACTAAAAGACTCAACATAATGGCGAAAAGTTAGCTGATGTGACCAAAAAAATAAAAAAGGAATAAGAAAAAAACCATACACTCTAGTTCATCCTTCACAGACTGAGAGAGTAGACATTTTACACCCATATCGACACAATTTAGATCACTAAAGGAGTAGGTTGCTCCGACCTTGCCTGTCAGGACAAATAGGGCTGTACAGGATACAACCCATTAGAAAAAACGGAGACATAAAATAAAGTATGGACTGTGTATATTCAAGTAGTCACTGATGACTTCAGCGATCAGATAAAAAAGAAAAGAAGGTGAATCATCTCTGTACAAAGAAAAGTGAGAAACGTCAAACTGTCCTTATCGTCTAGTCAAATAAATAACATGTGAAGCAGCCTGGTGAAATCAAGCGGTCGGCAAAATAATGAAATTGAAGAAACTGGCATTTTTCTGCCAGTTTGACCATTTTTATTGAATTTTAGTTTTTCGGCTCTACACCATTGTTGTCCAATTAAAAACACACTTCTGGGTTGATTTTACAGAAGAATGGTGATTAAAGGCACAAAATAATGTTAGTTTCCAGTTTCCATGGACTATCAAGCTTGGGAAATAACCAAACTTTCGCGACCATTTTCTCGTTAATTTAACCTTTGAAACAAGGCGACCCCACCTTCTTCAATCTCAAATATCTTGACTTCTATTCAAGATAGATGAGCATTTTTTTTTCACCAATAGCAAGACAACTGAACAAGCTTTAAGATGATAAAAATAACTCCACATGCCGAAAAATTTACGAGCGCCCGGTTCCACCACGCCATGACACATATCAGAAAATTAAAAGAGAGAAGAAAGACTGTTGTAATAATAAAAATGAAACAATAGTCGACTGATAAAAAATCATTAATTATTTACATTAACAAGTACACTGCTCCTCGTTTTGTCAAAACCTTCAACAACATTTCATGCCAGAACTAGACAAATCTGATAAAACACAGACATCAAGGAAGGACAGTGAAAAGTTCAATTTCTCCATAGACTCTACTTACCCAAGTGTCGACGCATGTCCAGTGTTTCTGTCCAGAGTTCTTAAACTGCTGGTTCCAGTACCAAACGCTGAAGGATAACAAAAAAAGAAATCACTGAATATCATCCTCCCTTCCATTATTTCCCATTTAATCTAACTACATAAGCCCTTAAATACCACAGCTCGAAAATATGGATTTTAAAAAATCAACCCAAAGAATGCAAAGCATCGACCATGAAGAAAAAAAATGTGCCATGGCCACAGTTAGGGTCAAGCTCAAACACAGTGAGGATGATCCTTCTTTGAACAACCAGTGGGGCATTCTTGAACACAGGTTGTAGTAGTTCATGACTCATCACCCACTTTGTTTTTTTGTTTTTATTATTTTTTTGGAAAGTGTTTTATGGCCTTTGCAACAGCATAAAGTCATTTGAGCGCAGGGGATACATTTAACATTTTCAGTTGGTAGGAAATTTTGAATTTTGAACAGGGGGTTGCCGAAGCTTACTCTTATTGATTTTGGACCACCAACGGATCTTTAACGTGCGCAACTTGCACACGGTACCTCCAAATTTTTTCGCCCTTGTCCGAGAAGGCTATGTGTAGATCTTTCCATCCAGAAGATCAGGGGTGTGGCTGAAAGACAGCAGTAGGAAGGAGCCAAGGAGTAGCAGTAGAAAGGCTGCAGAAAGAGTCAGGAGCCCAGAGGAAGGGGCAAAGAAGGGGTAGGGGTAGAAAGTGGAGACAAAACAGATGACAGAACATTGTTAAAGAGTAGGAAAGGAGGTGAAAGGAGAACATTTTAGAGAAAAAAATTTTACGTCACTATCCGGATTCGAACCCGGGACCCATTGAATGAGAGGCAAACACCTTGACCTCTAGGCCACCAGAGCCCCCCACCCACTTTATGGCATGCTGAAATTGGAGGTGGACAATTTATTATGATGTGCCAGTTCTTAAAAAGCCCAAAACTGCCTCTCTGTTTGCACCTCCCCCCCCCCCCCCATACACAGATACAGACAGGTACACACATAAACAGATACCTCAACTCTCTTCTCTCATCATCAAGGTACATGTTTTTGTGTTTAACTTGCTCTCTCTCTCTCTCTCTCTCTCTCTCTCTCTCCCTCCCTCTCATTCCCTCTCTCACTCCCTCTAGCCCTCTCTCCCTCTCCAAAGAGATACCTGCACTCTCCTCATCCTCCTCATCGCTGGGGTACATGCTGCTGTGTTTGATCACCTCTCTGGGCGTGGTCCCTCTCGGAGTGTGACCACGTGGCGTGTGCCCGCGAGGCGTGTGCCCCCGTCTGCCTGGACTCTTCAATGATTTCACCTCCGACTGAATTAAACAAGACACACAAAATAACAAGAGAGGTAAGATACAAACTTAACATCCCATTCAACACAGGAGCACTACATGTGAACCATTTGACCTATTGACATCTTGAGACAATCACACAGAAAAGAGTTTGTATAGAATAGGAATGAACATAACAAGCAAAACCTGACAAAGCAAACCACCCGGGACAGTGCCACTGACTGAAGTGTCTTTAGACCCCCCGGGGCAGTGCCACTGACTGAAGTGTCTTTAGACCCCCCGGGGCAGTGCCACTGACTGAAGTGTCTTTAGACCCCCCGGGGCAGTGCCACTGACTGAAGTGTCTTTAGACCCCCCGGGACAGTGCCACTGACTGAAGTGTCTTTAGACCATTCCCAAAGGGGGGACATTTCTCATTCAAGCATAGTAGAATTGTAAATCGGCTGATTCATGTCACGCTCATAACTGTGCCTGATCTGCAACAAGGAACGGCTGCTTTTTCTTTCCTGATCCTTACTATTGTCATTTTCCTCTACTTTTTTTGTATGTTTGTCACTCTCTTGTGACCTGCTATTTTGGGGTGCCTTGATAGTCGAAGCAGACCTTGTGCTGTTGAAGCTAGAGAGGTGAGCAGTCTAAGTCGGATTCCCTGTAAAGATTTCTCTGTTGACATCCACCCCTTGGCGCTCATATGACTTTATGCAGTTGCGAGCGCCGTAAAACCCTCTACTATAAAAAAAAATATATATATGACAAAGCAACAATTACAGATGGGGAAAAGAAACCAATATTTTCAACCCCTGACCTATAGCAGTACAAACATAACAATGTTTTATCAGCTCTACTATGATCTTTTTTTTTTTGCTTTGTTTTTTTTATTTAAGACATTTTCCATGGTGCTAAAAATGTTTCGCTTTAAGTAGAAGTATAGGAAATGTACACCCATGAATGATCTTTTCCAAGGCTCAGTCTCACCCATTGGCAAGAAACTGAAACTTTTACCATTCTCTTTTGCAACTGACCAAGGTCCTGGTAGATGTAAATGTTAATTTCAAAGACAATTAAATATCTGTTGAATACAATAAAAGAAACAAATACAAAACAAACTGGAAAAAAGATTTCTCGCCATCAAAATCCTTCCTATTCCTTATACGCTGTGCCCACTATGGCTGGATCGGGCCGATCGCCCGACTCGATCGCCAGAAACCGAAAACAAACATGTTTGTTTTTGAGGCGATCGAGTCGGGCAACCGGTCCTATCGGCCGACCCCAGCCGTAGTGGGCACCTCGTATTACAAATGGCTTACACTGGGGGGAAAACCAAGAAAGACAAGCAGAAAAAAAACCCAACAACAGAGGGACAGTACCATTGAAGGATGGACTAACCTTACCCAGTGAAAGTGAAGGAGAATATTCAAATGAACATTAATCGAATTTGGTCTTAAATATTTCTTTGTTTGATTTGATAGTTTGAGTACAGAGAAGCACATCGACACAATAACGGTCATTTAGTGCTGAGAAAAGGTAAGACAGACAGAAACAACAGAAGGAAAGCAAAGAGGTAGGACCTACCAGTGGCGCCCTCCAACCACCTGCGACTTAACAGGTCAAGTCAATGAAATTAGCAAAGTTACAGTAAATCAACAAATGCTAGTTTTATGCCGATAACTTTCAAAGTGTCAAACAGAGTCTAAAAGAAGTAGATCAGTAGCTAAAAAAAATAGAAAATGAGAGAGGAGAGGCAAGGGTGAAAGAGTGAGAGAAGATAGAGAGAGAAAGCAAGAGACTGACAAACTGAGAGAGATCAAGAGAGAGTCAAGTACACAGATTGACGAAAGAAATATCTTTAGAAGTAAATCAAACATATAGTGTAAGAAGCCACCACAATCCAAAATCACAAGAAAAAAAAAAAAAACATTTAAAGAAAGTAAAAAATTTCTAGCCCCCTGACCCTCTCTTTTCAGAAAGAACCTGGCAGCTGTAGAACTCCGCAACCAGTATTGTCTTAACACATATGTGTCACGAAGCGATGGAATCAGGCGCTTGTCATTCACTGGGTATAATGTAGGGTTATTGGTATCATCTTACAGCCTGTTCATTTGCCTCCTTTTTCATCTAAAAAATATACATCTATGTTGAATAGAAGTCGAAATATTTGCGATTGAAGGTCAGGGTCGCCTGGTTTCAGAGGTAAAATAAGCGAGAAAATGGACGCCAAAATTTGTTAACTTCCATAGCCTGAGAGTCCTTGGAAACTAGAAATTTAAATTTCTTTGTGCCTTTAATAAATGTTTTTCACTAAAATCCACACAGAAATGTATTTTTAAATAGACACAAAAAGTGTTGAGCCAAAAAAATAATAATAGAAAAATAGAAAAAAAATTGCCCATCGGCCCCCAAAAATGCCGATTTCTAGGACCATTATTTTTTACGAGCGCCTGATTTCACCATGGGGCCTCACATATAATTACACACACCAGCACCCAGAATAAAATCAAAGACTAAACTAAAAGCCCTGACCACAACTCTTTTGCAATTCCGGAAAGAGTGTAAGCAATCAAACTTTGAGGCAAAGGGAGGGAAAGATATGGTTACAGAGTTGGTTTATGAGATATCACACACAAAACATACCAGGGAAATATTTTCAAGCGCCATGCCACAGACAAGGTAGTCCAGGGATTGTTATAATTATTCTTCTAGGAAGAAATAGGCAAAGCAGGCAGACAGACTTATAGTTTCATCAAAGGACACTCTTGGACCTAGGCATCTAGAGAGTATATATATATCCTTCCGAACACTCTGCATTAAACTTTTAAAAATCTAAATGTTCTGTACAAGATTGGTTAATGCGAGATATATTTACCAAACTGTTCTATTTTATATCTCAGAGCTTAGAAAAATATTATGGAAATAAGCCTATTGACGTCAGGTATTACAATTAACATATACATTGCAAAGAAACATTATTCCATTGCTCAATAGTCTGCACTAATGAAGTAAAATTTTCATAGAAAGTATCTGCCTGCATTTCATATGAAAGCTTTATCCCCTTGCATGTCAAAGAACGTGTCTAGAATGTTCACATCACACATGTTCTACCTGGTTAACTACATTGAATCTAATAAACAGGCAGTTACCTCATATGGTAAGATATTTATTTATCTATGGTGCGAACATCCCAGGTTCCAACCTCTACAGAGAACATTTTCAAAGATACGTCAATCAAACAGTTCAAAAGACCATCCTTCACAAAAGGACACTTTATACTCAAAATCCAAACCCCACATTATCTGATGGTTAAAAGTCACACGAAAAGACAACATCTGTGGACGCCTACCACTCGGCTTATCTCCTGCTCAATGAGTTGCTCCTGTGCCTCCAAGACTTTCTCCTGCTCTCGAGATTGCTATGGCAAGGAAAAAAGGGAAGAAAAAACAAGCTGCATGCAAGGTAGGAGGTCAGGAAAAAGGAAGGAAGCGAAAAAGGCGCGCAAAAATATTATGGAAACGTGCACTGCAGAACCTGGAGCGGGTAGCTACTTTCCTACAGACATGACTTTGACGAGCTATCATGGCTTTCCCAACTAAACAATTAATCATTCTTTAAACTAAAGTAGGAGGGGCAGAGGGTGCAAGGATGGGGGAGCAGGCTGAAAGTCAGAGACAGCACCAAGGATCCCGAGTATTTTTCAGATGGAACTATACAAAAGAATTTTAGCTTCAGATTTCCGAGAAAGTTCAGATTCTACACAGGACCTAAGGCGTCTGAGATCTGTCCCAGTATCTAAATGAATCTGGAAGAAAATATTTTTTAATTGACAGACTGTCAGCCAAATACCATCTTCAGCTTTCTGGAATTCAATAGCTGAACCTGTCCGAAACGACTTCCCATTATCAAGGTGAAAAGTAGTTATATTAAACAGTTTGTCCTCTTTGGAAGCATCATTATAATGAAGAAAGTGGGTGGTTGGCGGGAGCTCTGGTGTGGTTTGCTCCTTCTTTCCTATCAAACATTTATCGTCCTTATCTCCCCTCCTTCTTTTTTTATGTTTGTTACTCTCTCTTGTAACATCTCTAACCTTCGGCACTAATATAACCTATTTGTGTTGCAAGTGCTGTAAAACACTTACTGAAGACAAACTTAACGGAGAAAAAAATGCAAGAACGTAGGGCAAGTGGTCATTTGTCCAGGTGCCTGTCTCGGACAGGTGGTGTTTAACACAGGTTCAAAGTACTATTACACCTACAAACATGCACAAATCACGTTTTGTATCTCTTTTTTCACTCAAGACTATGGAAAGAATACAATGAAGTGTAAATAATACACGCGTTTATATGTGAGTAAATAGAATTCACAAATCTGACCTCAGACCTGATAGGAGATGGGCAGGTGACTTATAGTATAACTAGTGGTACAGAAAAAATTGTCTCAAAACGCACAATCAAAGAGTAATAATCTGTGAATACACAAGCAAGCAGACCCCCATGCCTTGACATTCTCATTAAAATCCAAACCAAAGCAAACCATGTGATAAACTGTTACAATAAATGAGGCCAAAATTAAATATTTCGACACATGACCAGTGCACCTATACAAATCAGAGTAAAAATAACTGAACATGCCAACTAGTCTCACACTTTGTAGAGTCCGTTTTCCACTTTTTCCCCCTTTCTGTTTAGAAAATACAAGAAAAATAATTTCCTTTAAATTTCCACACAACAGCATTTCACAAAGTGAAGTTCAATTATAATTTATCATTTAGAATTTCAAACAGCATTTTGTATAATATTGACATTTAAACACAATTTCAGCTAAATTTTCAAACTGCATTGCATACATTGAAATTTAATTCTAAATGTGTAAAATTGCCATGGACACCCATACTGGTCCTGAATTCTTTCAAGGAAAGTATGAGTAAATGTTGGAAAACAAAGGAGAATTTAGTGTGAAACTCGGGATGGGGCAGGAAAAAAAGACAAGCGAAAGCAATAAGCAAGGGCTAGTGACCTGGGCTCATACACAATAATTCTGTAAATGAATCTCATGTCCACCGTATAGATCTTAATCTTAACATGTACATGTTGGGAATGCCTATCCCTGTAAATCAAGGCTTAGAGGTAGAACAAGGCATATATTTTCCATGGTACTTATTGCTACAATTTGAATTCTCTAAAAATAGTTGAAGCAATAAAAACTCCTTAGATTATGACCAAGATTTGGTAACTAGCAAATGATTCAAGATACTTGAAACCAAATACATAAACACATTTAAAAAACAAATACTCCCTCCTCCCCCCCCCCCTCCAAAAAAAAATCATTTTTAAAAAGGACGCTAAGAATGAGAATACATCAGTGGTGTTGAGTTAATGGAAATAGAAGTTACAAGAAGCACACACTCTTTCAGAGACAAAAGCTCTTTGACCACGCACAGATGGACTTAAAACTTCTTTGTTGAACAACTCTGAGTCAACAAAAGTTTGCAAAGTCTAAGCGTAAGAGTAAATTGTTATTTAAATGAAAGAGCCGCAAAGAATGGAATTTCCACATAGCTAGGTAAACACAAGGTAAATATATACTCTATTGCCATAAATTTAGAAAGATGACAAATTAAAATTTATTATTTTTTAAATTATTTTTTAAAGAAAAATGATTAAAGATGCTCAAATTAAAAATTACCCTCTCTTGTGAAAACTAAGAAATAGAGATACGGGATGACTTGAGCTCAAGCTGAAATATTATCTTTTTCAAAAAGAAAATGAAATCATCTGCTCACAAGTGGAACTGCTTTCAAATGTGATGTCAAAGATTAGTGTCTTGAAACATAATGTGAGTATAGATGTTCCCGCATATTATAGAGAGAAAAATTTACACTTGAGCAGAATCAAGCACAGACAGTGTTGACAGCTCAAAGTTGGAAAGGTCAAGTCTGAATGAACAAAAAGAGAGGTGCATTTAATTCAAACAGTTACAAAAGAAAAGAGATTTCAAGCTCACATTTTTTGGTGCACCTCTTTGGAAACAGGCTCATGATTTCAACAGACAAAACTTGTACTTTGTAAAGGACTGTTACCCACTTTTGTTTGTTGTTTTCAAATCCCTTTAGCTGCCAGCATTTCGCACTTGGCAGCGCAACGCCTCTCTTAAGTAACCACATGTTACCCACTTAAAATCTTACCTCAAAATTTAAAAAAAGAGATAGGATTTTTTGGTGGCAAAAATGCTTATCACAATTGAGGAAACAAATGATGGAGAAGCTTACCCTGAGCACCTCCTCCACCTGCTGTTGCTGTCGCTGATGATGTGGACTGACCGAGCCGTCCAGGGAGCGGCTGGTGCTCTCCAACACATTGTTCAGCTGAGAAGAAGAAAAGAGAAGCCTTTTAGTAAGGTTTTAAGGTGCTTGCAACAGCATAAGGTCATATGAGCGCCAAGGGGTGGAGGTAGAAGTCCAAACGGGGAATCAGGCTTACTCTGCTCACCTCTCTAGCCTCAACAGCATAAAGTCTGCTGCGACTATCAAGGCACCCCGGAAATAGCAGTTCACAAGAGAGTGACAAACATACAAAATAAGTATAGGAAAAATGGCGATAGTAAGGATGAGGAAAGAAAAAGCGATTTACAGTGAGGGAAATAAGATATGGATGAGATAAAATAAAAAACACTTGACTGGCCGTGCATGGAAACAACATAGTAGACAATGTGTTTTCTCCAGATTCTGGGATAAAAAATAAAAATGACCTGTTGGTAATTATATCTAAACAGTTTCTTTATTATCAACATTGAGTTCTATACTCTTTCTTCATTTACATAATCCAAAGAACACACACAGTAAAAGTGAAATAATCAACATAAAAATTTGGGCAATGCTTTATTAGCGTATAATTACCTTGAAAAACAAATGTCAAAATCATAAAAAATAGTCTGAAATGAGCATGATAAAAGAGGACACCGTTTTATACTTCAACACATAGAAAAGATCTGTAACACTTTCAACATTTTTCAACATATTCGTCATAAAGCAACATTCTAACAACAGTAACCACTAGCAAAAGTTAAAGCAAAGCCAAAACAGATCCATAAGGGCAGAGTTCAACACAGTTCCCACAGAGGAACAACCAGCTCCTGGATCAGATGCCAGTCTGTCCATCCCGAGAAAACCCACAACTCACTGCAGTTCCAACTTACAGCAACATCTAGGCCTAAATACCTAATAATAAATAGAATGTGTATTGCGAAAGCCTCAGCTCAACAGTAAGCTCTATGCGATTTACAAGATAATATTACTACCCCAGCAGACCATAGAACACTCAGAAACATTCTCAGCTTTCCAGGCAGCATACAGTGCAAGCAGCTGAGTAAGTGCTCAAACACTAACAAACAGAAAAGATCTTTCGCTGTTATTAGCTGGGTACCCATTCCCACTTGGGTGTAGTGAGGAAAATTCGTATAAAGTGCCTTTCCCAAGGACACAACGTTGGGCCCATGACCTTACAGTTGTGAGTCCAAGAGCCTAACCACTAGGCCACCAACATCACAAAAAAGCAATATTCACACAGAACTAAAGAAGAAGAATAGATCATAAGTCTTTTACAAAGCAAATGTACTGATTCCTTGACATCAACATTCACCTATTTAAAAAGAATAGCAATCTTTCGAATAAAAACAAAATTACCTTCTTGATTTCACTAGCATGCTGCTGGGTCATTTGGTACACCTTTTTCTGCCACTTCTTATCCTGACGAGTCAGTTTGTGCTGCATGTGTTCGCTCATCTGGTTCAGCTGAGGATAGACAAGGACATGTTATTCCTCCTTGATACACTCAAGCCTGTGATGGCTGTCAATGAATCTTTCTCACAACATTCTCCGCACTATCATCCTCCACAAGAGCTAACAAAACTGCTGTTAAAATAAGTAACAATCATCCCATTGGGACATCTAAAAAGTCCCCCCCCCCTTTTCCCTTAATCTACAAGACACATACCCATGCAAGCATTCATTTGTTGAATAGTTTCACAATCCACATTTAGTCTATCACCAAGAGCTGCTAGAATCGCAACACTGTAGTACAGAAGCAGAAGACACTGAGGCAAAAACAGTAGTTAAAGCATCGAAACCTAATGACCTCCTTGTGGAAGACACATATATATATATATCTCAATTGTGAATACATGAGCCATAAGAGAGTCTTCAAGATGAGAAGGAAATGACAGAAAATCTCATCATTCCATAAGGCCGCAAAGTCCAACTTGTAAGAAGACCAAAGTCTCATCGACCTTAGAGGTCCATCCCACAACCTTCTCGATCCAACCCCCCCCCCCTTTCACAACTACACCAACAGTCAAAAAGAAAAGATAACATGGAGCCCATAACCACAAATCATTTTAAGAAAACTTTTTTTTTACAGCCTCAGGTCTCCACACCTGTTCTTGGAGTTGTTCCTTGAGAGCAGCCACTTCACTCCTTTGTTCTTTCAGCAGGTCCTTATCGTTCTCCACATCATCTTCAAGATCACCCAGGTATGACCGCTTGCCTGCCACAAACACACACAAAGTAAAATACAGGCTCACGCATTTACAACAAAAAGAAACATTTCTCCAAATTATCTTGTTGCGGGTATTTGCTCTTCAGTTCCCATTTTCATCTTTAAAAAGTGCAGCAAAAACTGAACAGACCAGGGAGGACTGAGCAACATAGACATAAAGGATCTAAGAAGTATGGGGTGGGGGAAGAGGGGGGGGGGAGAGGAGGAACCATTCACAGTCACTTGGTAGTTGGATCCCCAAAAGTCTGTATGTTTTTATGGAATGTTTCTAGCTATTCAAATTTCAATTTCATTCTGACCATTTGTGAGTTTTTATTGCATTCTATATTTTTGTGTGAACGCATTGCCAGGTTCACTGCATGACTAGTTTTCTCACAGAAATTTTTATACATATATACATTCATATGCATAATACTATGTTTATCTTACACACTTGTCTATTAATTTTTAAGATGTGATATCTTTCTCAATGTAAAGCGCACTGAGCATTTTTTAGAAAATGGAAATGCGTAGCATAAATGCTATTTATTATTATGCTTCGCAGGGGGCAGTGTTCACAAACACAGCTCTTCTTTAAAAAACTGCTTGTGTTCAACACAAAGCAATGAATAACTTTGTGCACAATTTTAAAAAACTACAGAAATGGGGATCTGTGAGTTGTGACCTCCTCGGGAATAAGTCTACTGTTTACTAGGTTGGGTTTTTTTCATATGTGATTTGAATTCAAAGTTTTTTTGTTTTTTTTAAAGAAATTCACACACAAAAGTCCTTTGTGAAATGTTAGAAGGGGTACTACTGCATTGGAATGCATCACACCTGACAACTTGAATCACGAATTCAAAAAATTCCCGAAAACCCAAATGTGTAAAAAGCAGCAACAAAAACGAGTAAGTGAAAAAAATGTGGGTGAAGAGTAGTAGATCCAAGCTCTTACCTCCACTGCGAGCTTCCAGCTCAGTCAGGGCTCTTTGTGAGGCCTGGTACTTGGCATTCAGTTCCTTCATCTCCTTCATGATGGCAGAGCTCATGCCACCTCCACCCTCACCATTCTAGGGGTACCAGAAATATTTTTGTTAAAGTCTTCAAACAAATATTATATAGATAAGACAATGGATAATTTGCACAGTGAAAAAGTAAAAAGAAATAAGAAAGAAATCAGGGAGAAGTGGGAAAGTTATAGGACCTGCTGGAAGAGCCCAAAAGTGAGAGAGGGAAGTACAAGCACAGCTACAGTCACAGGAACAAATGTGAGGCAGTGTGGTGGAATCAGGCTCTCGTCAAAATGATCAAAGTGAAGAAACTTGCTTTTTTCTGTTGGTTTGTGAATTTTTATCAAATTTTTGTTCTTTGGCAAAACACCTTTCATGCCCATTAAAGAACTCATTTCGGTGTGATTTTTTTCTGAAAAACGTTGATTAAAGGCACAAAAAATGTAAACTTTCAGTTACCACGGACTATTAAGATAAGGAAATAACTAATCTTTGGCGGCCATTTTCTCACTAATTTTACCTCTGAAAACAGGTGACCCCCACCTCCTTCAATCGCAAAGATAAATGGATATTTTTTTCGTCCCAATAAACACAAGAGAACAACCTTTAAGACTATACCAATAACTCTACATGCCCAAAAATTGACGAGAGCCTGATTCCACCACGCTGCCTCACAAATGGCATGATTGTATTCTTTAGAGACACACAAACAGACTTAACACCTGCACACATGCATTTTACCATTTAAAAAAAGAAATACAAAAGACACTCTTTCGAGACAAGGAGATGTAGTAGAAAAGCTGCAGAAAGAGTCAGGAGCCCAGAGGAGGAAGCAAAGTGGGCGAAGGGGTGGGGGCAGAAAGTGGAGACGAAAGCAGAAGACAGAACATTGCTGGAGATCAGGAAAGGATGTGAAAGGAGAACATTTTAAAGAAGAGGATTTTCTGTGCTCAAGATTAGAGGTGTTACATGAGAGTAACAGACACAAAAAAGAAGGAGGAGAGATAAGGACCATAGATGTTTGAGAGGAAAGAAGGAGTAAACCCCACCAGAGCACCCACATCCATTTCATTTAGAAATCAACAGTATGAGGATCACAATCCATTGTGGTTCAACAAACCAAAACAAGGCTTACTTTGCTGAAAACAATTCATAGATTCCTGAGCAAGCTGATAATGACTTCCTAAAATACTTATGGAAATGGGGGAAAATGTTTACTGTGATCACTGTGTGCTGGTGATCTCGTGAAATAAAAGTACCCAGAGGTAACCATTTAGAAGTTGTATTTTCAGTGAAGTAAGCCCTATTTGACTGGTTGGTTGTTGATAATATATATTACTAACTTCATTGCCATCAGGTGCAGCAAGATTTTCACTGCTTTGAGACTTGATGAATCTGGGGTCCTAGATACAAATCAGATTAGCAAGAGGTTAGCAACTAAGGGGTGAATATGAAGCAATCTATGTGTGGATGAAAAAATCTTCTCTGATTACATTTGTGGAGCGTGGAGTTTAACATGAATCACCACTACAATCTTATTAATAACAATGACAAAAACAATCTTTATTCATCTCACAGGAAGAAATTTGTCTTTGTCGTTTACAATGGCAGTGGATGTTACAAAGGTTAGGTGCACTCACACATACCCACAACAAGACAGGATATTAGTAAATACATGTCTCGCGTGCTGAAACTACTCTCTCTCTCTCTCTATCTCTCTCTTTCACGTCTCTCTCTCTCCCTATTTCATTTGTAGCACAGTGAGTCCAGTAACCTCACTGCAGTTGGTACATAATATGAATTTCTTTATCTTTCTGTTCTTGCTTTTTTGAAAATGTAAAGTTTACACAAGTTACAACATTGCACAAACAGTAAACAAGACGCAGCAACAAAAGATGTTTACTTGAAATTAACTATCTGTGGTGCAAAGTCATTGATGAATAGACTAATAAGAGTGCACGTAAGTTAAAACGACATGGTTGCCAAGTTGATCCTGCCACCTGCCATCTGCATTTGAACGTGACCTTTAACCCTTTCAATGCAACATGTTTGCATTTCTAGATACATCAAAATTGATGAAATTGTGCAATTTCATGACATACTAGGTAACTCAATGCATTTAAGAGGTAAAAATAAACCAATACTTTACGACATACAAATCAATCCACAAAAATTTGGAATGTAACATGAACTTATGACATCATCATTCTTACGTGGAGGAACAATATTTTCCCAAATTCAAGGAATGGTGAGCAAAATGTATTCTGACAGTTTTTGGCATTTTTCCTAAGCACTTGGCACCCTGTTTTGAAAATTAACTTTACATTTGTGAGGCTTTACCTTCAGTGCAGCTGTAATGTTACATATGCTCGTACAAAGAATGAGTTGGCTACAATGTCAGTGGCACAGCATGTAAGTAAAATTTAACTGTTATTTTGATATCATGAATTGCTGGTTCTGACACAGTTAAACAAGCATATATGTTTTGATATCATGAATTGCTGGTTCTGACACAGTTAAACAAGCACATGTAAATTTTATCGTTTCTTTCTACGACTGTTCAAACTAGCGATTTCAAGTGACAAATAGTAACACTGGTGGAGTCATGAGCAAATTAGTCAAACGAGGGAAAACAGTTCTTCTGATTCCATCACTTTTAATTACAATTAATAGTCAAACCTGCTCTCACAGCCACCAGTCCAAGACAATCACTCGTACCAATGACTTCTTTCCACTTACACCAATGAGGTTTTTTTCCATACTATTATTATAATGACAATGTTCATGACGTCCACCCATCTAGGAAAACCACTTCTCTCTTTTGACAATGGGTGGCCGTCTCTGACCATTTCCACTGCTTTCAATCAATCTTTTTAAGCTGTCCTGGCTCTCTTTCTCCACAAAAGAAAACATAATATTCCCATAAAGAGATTGGAAGGTATCACTAGAACATCTTACACCATTATCTTTTATACAAATGTACTTTGGACTACCCTGGCAGCCATTGCCAGTGGGTGGTTGGCAAGAGCTCCGGTGTGGTTTGCCCCTTCTTTCCTATCAAATATTTATCATCCTTAACTCTCCTACTTCTTTTTTTGTTTGTTTGTTACTCTATTGTAACACCTCTAATCTTCGGCACTTATACGACCTTATTGTGTCGAAAGTGCTATATAACCCTGACTAAAACAAAAACTAAATTCCTTGCCACTCAGACTCCTTACACCTTTAAACAGATCCCAGCTGACTGTGGCGACTAACTTTAATGAAAATGCAGACAGCCAGAAAAAGGAGAGAAGACAGGTGGAGCAGATTGACAAAAATGTCCCCTGCTCAAAAAAAGAAGACAATTGTCAAGTCAGTTTTCTAAAAGCAACAGAGGCAGCAGAATTCCACCCTTACCCAATGTGTCATATAAAGTGTTATAAAATTTGAGGCAAAGCCATTAGTACAAAGAAGGCATAAAACTGTAAATTTACATTAGAACAGTTTAAACCAATTTATCTTACACTATCACTGCATTTCACTTACTTTGTTTTTGAGAGACAGAAGTGCCCGCCTCTCCTCCTGAAGCTCCGCCTCCTGCTTGAGCAGCCTCTCTTTGATCTGGCTCAGTTCTGTTTCCATCTGGTTATGGCCGCTGTCGGAGCCCATGCCAAGGTCAGGGCTGACTGTACTAGAGTTATCCTTATTGGCTCCGGTCCCTGCCGTGTGGCGTCGCGTGATGTGCGACTGGAGGTACGAGTTGTTCATGAAAGCCTTGGCACAGAAAGGGCACTGTGGGAAGAATGTGGAGGCAAATTAATGAATGAAAATGACAATACCAACATAAATGAAAAGTCAGAAAAGCCTTTCAAAAATCAGAGATCTAAAGAGACAAAATCATATAGGTTCTGATCAGGATGAAAACAATGCCCTCAATTATCACAATCCTCATAAAAATCAATTTCAAATTTCAAGAAAAATGACTTTAAAAAATATTCTATATTCCATAAATCAAACACTTTCTGAAAGAAAGTTATTCTTCTTCTGTTCTTATCATCCTATGTCGTTGTTGTTGTTGTTGTTGTTATCGATCTAGCAACAGCTGGGCTCTCGCCCTTCTGTCCAATGCCATGTAGTGATAAGTGCAGGTTTGTTGTAGTTGCTGTAATGTTCCATAGAGTGTGTTGTCAATGTTAGGTCTCGGAGGGGGAAGTGTAGCTCTGATGTCATTTAGGGCTGAAATGGTGAAATGGTATAGGTTTAACGCCCCTATCAACACTATTAGGTTATTTAAGAGGCGGGGCCTCCGAGTTTAACGTCCATCTCCGAAAGGACCAAGCCAAATGGGAAACTCGTGTAAAGTGCCTTTCCCAAGGACACAACGTCGGACCGAGCTGAGGCTCCAACCCCCGAACCCACAATCTCACGATTACGAGTCCGGTAGCCTAACAACTAGGCTACTGACGCCACCATTTAGGGCCGTACGGTGGAAAAGGTGATGATCCAGTCTCATATGCATAGTCACACAAAGGACACATTGGGGGAAGTTCTTGTTTTATTCTGTTCAAGTGAAATTTGAGCTGTATATATTCTGTTCATAGGCGGAAGATCGTGGTCTGTTTCTTTCTCGGTAGGTAGTTGATATTGTCATTTCGTTTTGTTGTGGTCATATGTTTGAAAATTGCTCTGCTTGTCTGTCCCAAGGCCCATCTGTTCATCCAATCTTGTTTCCTGTTGCTTTTTAATGATTAGTTTTGCAGTGTTGTATGAGGTTGGAATGTCGGGTCGTTCCTGTCTAGATCACCTTTTGGCAAGTGTGTTTGCTCTGTCATTTCCAGGTATGTTTGAGTGTCCGGGAATCCGCTGCATCACCCGGTTGACGCCACAGGATGTTATCAGGTGATCGGAGCCGAACAGTATATGTCGTGTCTAGTCTTCGTTTAGATTATGATCATTTTCTATCACTTGTGAGACTGATAGTGAGTCAGTGAAAATCACTATACTCTGCGTTTTATTTGGATGAATGTGAAAAACTGTGAGGAAATGGTACAGCGTTGTTTCAATTGCTATCATTTCTGCATCGTATTTGTTGCATTTCTCTCCACAGGCTGCAGAGATCTCATTGGAACTTCCATCTGGGTACTGTATTAGTATTCCATATCCGGCTTTAGTTGTGCCTTTGAATGCTGAGCCGTCTGTATAGCTGTGTATACAGTCATTTGAAAAGCTGTCGATTGTTTGATGTGATGGAAGCATCAACGTCACTGGGTCTGAAGATTTTGTGCTACTGTCGGTAAGAGATGTTGTAATGATTGGCTTTTCCATAGAAATGTGGGGAGGGATGTTTTGGTAGACTCTTTTGGTTTCTCTTCTGTTTTGTGGTAGATGGTGACTCTCTATTAGTTCTGTGATGCCAAGCACGATGGATTTTTGTTGAAGTTGCTTCTTTAGTTTCCATGTTTCTAAGAATTTCCTGTTTGGGAGCTTTGGGCACATTCCTTTGGTTCTTTCATGGAGCTCCAAAACTGCTTTATCTCAGCGAATTCCCAGGGGTTCAACATTTGAAAGAATTTCATGTGTGGCAGTAGGTATAGATCTCATGCCATCGTTTATGAAACGAAATGGCATTATTTTGGACCTTGTCAAGGGTATTGAAAGTAGTTGCACTACACATAGTGAGTAGACTATTGCTGTATTTCAGGGAAGATCGGACATAACCAAGGTATAGAGCTCTCAGAGTTTGTTTGTCTGATTCCCATGAACTGCTTACGAGGTTTTTTAAGTTTGAGTCTTCTTTTCGCCTTGTTCTTTATGCTCTCCACTTGGCTTTTCATTGTTAGACTTTGGTCAAGTTGGACTCCTAGGTATGTTTGTTGTTCTTCTTTGGTGAGATTTTCATTTCCCATCTTCAGTTGGAGCTTTTCTTTGGCTGTTTTATGGCGCTTTGTAAAGATGGTGTATACTATTTTCAGGCAGTTTATTTTGAGCTTCTATTTCTGACAGTAATTGTGGAGCCTCTTGAGGTCTTCATTCAATTTCCCTGCTCCTACTACTGTGCTGTTATGTGTCTGCCAGAGAGCAAGATCATCAGCTTAGAGAGTCTTTTCAGATTTCAGCACCTATTGAAGAAAATCAGGAACAAAGTGCAACTTAGACAGGAGCCTTGGGGTAGGCCTTCCTCGAGTACTTCTCTTGACGAGTGGGCATTGTTCACCTTGGTTTCGATGTTTCAATCCGCTAGGAAAAACTTGATCCATATATAAAGTTTTCTGTGCATCCCGAGGTCCATCATTTTCATGAGTAGGCCTTTTCTCTACCCTCTGTCGTACACCTGTTGGAGGTCTACAAAAATATTTCCTCGAGCTGTCATTTCCATTCTGATTTCCTCTGGCTGTCTTATCATCCTATAGAGAGTATCAACCTTGTTGGAGTATGAGTAAAGTTCTGGCTCTCTCTTCTTACCTTATTGTAGCTCTCATTGCCTGCATACATGAGCTGTTGCTGAGCTATGAGCATCTTCTTCCTCTTGTGGCTTTCCTTCTTCACCTCAGTCAGCTCCTTACGTGCCTCCTCCAGCTCTTGCTTCACTTTCTCTACGTCCTGGAAGGAGAAAAAAAGCAGAAGAGTTGCGGTTCACAGCAAGATAGCTGGATGACTAACACATTTTGTCGGTTGTTTGCTTTTTTGAGGTAAAGAGAAAAACATTGATACCGAAACAATTAGAGGTGGGGTGGGATAAAGAATAACAGAGTAGGGGGGGAGAAAGATAAAATAGACATTTCAGTGGTACCTTCCAACTTCCACAGGAGAGCTGTTGCTGAGTGAGTTTAGTTTAGTAAGAGTTTTACGGCATAAGGTTATATGAGGGCGTGGAACACTAGTTGGTTGCATTCACTACAATTCATAGCACGGGTTGGTGTATATCAAAATTTCTATTAAAATGTTGAAAATTTGTGATAAAATTTCAGTTTCAAAATAACACTTGAAACAATTTTTTTAAATAATGCTATTTACAGTTAATTGTAAAGGCCAATGGCCTTCATACAATCGAGAATTCTGTTGGGATCAATAACAGAGAACAGATTTAGACATTTTTGGCATTTTAAATACTTCCTTCAAGTCTCTCCAAGTTGTTGAGTGATTCATGGCCACATTTCATCATGAGCAGAATATATATGATAATAGAACTACAAGAAAGATAAAGAATGAGCAGGCCACTCTTCCAGTGTCTTCCAGCCACAAATGATACGCGCAGTAGCAACTACGAAAAAGAAGCAGATGAGAGGCAAACCAGAGAAGATCACACGTAACAAACCAGCTGTGATCAAGGGAAAGAAGAATGCTTGAAAAAAGTTGATGAGGCAGACCACACTAAAATGTTTGATGTGTCCTGTGCGCTCATATGACCTTGTGCAGTTGTTAACGCTGTATAACACTTACAAAAAAAAAAGGGTACCATCACCAAAGTAATTGATTGAATGGTCATACTGGTTGCCATCAATTTTTGCTTTAAATTAAGAAGAGTTGCAGAGCAAAAAGAAATATCCACAGTGCATCGCTGTAGATGGACATTTTAATTAGTGCCGAATCTTCTTCCTCAATACGTTCCAAAGAGTGTCAACCCTGAGGTAGAACAGCATTTAGAACTGGGCTAAAACAGGGATTTCTCGCAATATCTGTTCAGTCTATGCAAATCAGGATCTTGTCTTAAGAGATAAAATGAACTACAGCCTTCATACATTTTGAAAAGACAGACAGTAAATATTCAAATAGCTTGCTCATCAAAGTTCATTATAAAATCACTTTACCTGATCAGACTGCTTCGATTTCTCTTCTAAAGAAGCACACAGCCCTGCTAAATACTCTTGACTGTGCTGTGAGAAAAAATATAGAAAGCACAGGTAAATCATAGAGTTATTATAATGAATATTGAACATTTGTATATAAATACAGAAAAGAGAAAAGTATGTTTCTGACGATGAACTTAAAACCCAAGACAGTAATTCAAACTCGAAGGAATTCTCCTAACGAAAGTGAAGACTTTAAACTTCAAGGAGACATCAGATACGCCAAGTCTTCAACAACTTGTGCCAAGCAACACGTTAGAAGCTTAAAATACATGTATCATCAATAACGAAAACTGTCAACACATGTGTAGAATGTGCTGCATAGATCTCAAAAACGCTCAAAGCTGTCAAGCTATACAACTGACTGTTAGTAGATGAGTAATATTTGATGTGGAGAATCTAAAAAAAAGATAAAATTATTTCTGTAAAGCTGGAATACCTTTATTTCTAAATCCAAAATCCTCAACATTTGTGTTTTTGTCCAAATGTGTCATTTCCTTCACTTTTACTAAAAGAAAGTGCTAAGTGATGCAAAGAAAATATTTCCTTCTTGTCAGTTTTTACTTGTCACTATATTATTATGACCAAAGCAGCTGTACCAAGTATTACGCAAAATGCTAAGTTCTTATAAAATAAATAAGAATAATATGATATCCAAACCAAACTACTATTGTTGGCTTTGGAAAGGAACAGCTATTTCTAATGTAGTGACACAAATTGAAAGTCATAAATACAAACACATTTTTTAAAAAGTTAAAGCTATAATTTTCAGTAAGACTGCTCTTTTGCTTTCTCACAAATCAAATGCAACAGAACAAAGACAATCAATGAAACTCACAAGCAAATACTCAATGGTCAGTTGTGCTAACTTGAACAGCTTAACAAAATTTGGATCCACAGAGCGAATATCCTGCAAAAGAAAGGGAAGTAGTTAATTGTCTGTTATATAAAGAAATTCTAAAGAGAAGCTGTACAAATGGTTTTTTCAGGTTTGAAAAATAATCAATTTCATATCTGTTACCAGGTACCTACTTTAGTAATGTCTCTGAATTGTTAAGTGTAACCTTATATGAATTGAGGAGAAGCAAAGAAACCATCATTAACTTTTCGATGCATCAAGAAACCTGCAATAATTTGATGCGAATCGATCACAATCGAAGCTCTCTTTGGCAATAGCAAGGGCTAACATGTAACATGACATAACAACTTTTGAATAAAGCTTGCTGCTTTTAAAGTAAACAAAAGTCAAGCACAGGCAATCATGTCAGGAATTCACAATTGTATTCGCACTGCAACAATTTAGATAAACCGATTTAGTGAATAAGTAAATACAATGTTATATCGGTCAGGGAATGCTAAATTGTACCAGCTATCCATGATTTTGAGTTTTCCATCTTATGTGTTATCTGTGCACAACTGTATAGCTAAAGCTAAACAAATGAAAAAAAGGAAAAAGTACAAAGCTGATGAAATTTTAAAGTCCTACCAGTTCAGCCTCTAAGTTACAAAATGTTAAATTCATGATGTTTTCTTGAAGGGTTGTGAAGTCTAGCGTCCTTGAAATGTTATCCACATCAACAGAGGCAATCTTCCTCCAGTCCACCCTCTCCACACGCTTGCGAAAAGAAAATCCACCATTTTTGCCACCAGGGTAGCCATTGTATCCATTGACAGGAGCCTGGGGCCCATAATAGGCTGAAGAAGGCATGAACTGTGTACCCATCTTGTCTGGTCTGTAAAACTGTTCAGGGATAAACAAACACACATAATTGTGAAACAAACAGAAAATATAGGCATCCAAATTTCAGAAAAGGCCACCTCTATTCTCACCCGGAGTGAGACTAGTGCAGGCGAGTCTTGTGGCAGGCGAGTCTTCTGCAGGCGAGTCTTGTGGCTATTCTCACCCGGTGCGCGTTCACCCTAAACCACAGAATTCTACACTGTGATAACAGAAAAATTGTAGAATTCTGTGCCGTGAACAAATGTTCCATTACAACTGTAGCCTACTAAAAGCGTACAATTTTGTCTGTGGGCAGTGGAGAGAGAGAGAGAGAAAGAGAGAGAGGAGTAGCGCGAGAATTTCCGAGCAAAACAAAATGGCGACCCGTGTAGTTCGGCTCGATTCGAAAAGTTAAATAGCCGTAGCATCTTTGTAGACAACCAAATTAATTTACTTTTGTGTTTTAACATCATTTTTTAACTTTGTTTTGGTCAATTTGATCGTCCACACCGATAGACAGTATTCAGAAAGAGACAGAGAGAGAGAGAAGAGGGGAGGAGTTGATCTTGCGAGAACTTCCGGGCGGGTGAGAATAGCCATTTTCTTCAGAAAAATATAAGATACCATATATATATGTGTATATTGATGACATGATGCATAGTGGCTACACGCTGTTGCTACAACCAAGAGGTTGGCTGTTTGTCCTCTGATCCATCTTTTATAAAATACTGGCTGCATCTCATTCACACTTGCACATGAATGTGTGCTACAATTGGTAATGTGTTAACCCGCAAACTTAACTTTACGCTCTGGATGTGCACTTAAGTATTCAAAATTGAACCATGTTCTTTAGAACATTGAACTGTTTTCCATAAAAACATTGTTTTCAATTGGTAATGCAATTCGGCAATCACAGTAAAAGCAAAAAGACAGTTTATGAGTTTTATTGATATATCGTGATTTACGATCCCTAATCATCAATAAATTATTTTCCCCGACAAGTGTATTTTGGCACCTCGCCTTCCGTCCGGTCCCGCATCTGTGTTTGTGCGTCACTCAACTTGAGTTTGTGTGCGTTTGAGGCCTACTTCTAGAACCGTTTGCATTAGTTCGAAACCGAGGTGTACATCTCATTCGAATCACACGAAGTTGGTAGCTCTAGATGTTCGTCCAATGAAATTTGAACAAATTGACCCACTTAGACATGAGGAGCTCAAAAGGATAACCAGGAAACAAGACTTCCATTTTTCTATACAAAATCCTTTAAATGAGCTTGATTTTACATAAAATGATAGATTACCTTATAAAAATAAGTATTGACAGTTTTGAAAACCATTGAGCAGGCAAAAAGAAATTTTTTTTAGAACAAAACAATTGGAAAGTCATTACAAGTAGTTACTCTCATACGAATAACCTTTTTTGATGCTCTTGTTGATAGGAATGGTCTGGGATACAAAGGGAAATAATATAGAGATCAATTTCCAATTGTTTTGTTCTAAATTTTTTAACTATAATATGAGGCAAAAGCACAAAATCAATGGAGCTGACTTGTACATAACAGTGATGACAAACATGATTTGTACATAACAATGATGACACAATGTACAGGAAAAGACAAAAGTCTTGCCTCCAGAGATAAAAGCGCACTTTAAGAATTAAAAAACAACCCAGGAGAGGTTTCTTTTGCTTTGAAACAGATACCAAGTCATATCAAAGATAGTGGACGATCACAATTATGTGGCTAATTATGACAAACAGTACTCGTACATAACAGTGATGACAAAACATACTGGGAAAAGGTAAAATCATGCCTACAAAGAACAAATTTGCACTAAGAGATACACAGATCAATAAAGGCTAATAAAGGCTAATAAAGGCGTATTTTGCTTCTAAATTAATCTTGCATGTATGAAATATATGTTGAAAACTTATTGATATTAGCAATTATGAAAAATATTACTTGTACATAACAATGATGACACAATAACACAATGTATTGGAAAAAGGTATATCATACCAACAAAGAACAAATGTGTATTTTTGAGATAGACAGATAAACAAGGACATGTTTGTTTATTTGTTTGAGTATAGAGAGCACACATTACTTAAAAAATGTTTGCTCTTAGGACAATGTAATTTCTTGTACGTTAGTCAGTCTCAGGGTTGGTGATTTTTTTGATAAAAATAAAAAAAATCGATTTTTTTATTTAAATCAGATTTTTTAAATTTAAATCGGATTTTTTTTTTTTTTTTTTTTTTTTTAAATGTCGACACAGTTTGGGATTTTTGGTGGCTAAAAGTATGTTCTTTTAGTGCAAAATGCATTGTCTTTATTTTAACTAATGATCAATTTAAACAACTGCAATTTTAGAAAACCTTAATCTGCTATCAGTGAATTATGGCTACAGACAAAAAATGAAGAAAATGTCAGTCTAAAAGGAAGGGGGGGGGGGGGGGGGGGGTAATTATGCATAGATAAACTTGCATTTTATTTTTAATACAGTGTGTGTGTAATACGCGCTTGTGTTTGTCTAAAAAGAAAAAGAAAAATGCTAATTTCAATTATGAAAAAAAAGGGAATTGATACTGTATTATTTTACTACTTACATTGACAGGGGGGGGAAGCAGACTTTTAAGCAATTTTAGTCTACTAAACCTTATATCTGTTTTATAAAACCCAGGAAAGGAATTCTGAATGTTTAAAGATGTAAAAACAGAAAACATTTTTTAAAAGTGATTTAAATCACTGATTTTTATTTTAAAAATCAAGTTGATTTAAATCAAAAAAATCAACTGATTTAAATCAACCTGATTTAAATCAACCCAACCCTGGTCAGTCTTGTACGGCTGCATGACGACACCCCAAACGTCATCACTGAGCACAAAAGCTAAATCTATAACCACAGAAATGATCCATCTCTCGAAGTTTGTTCACACATCACACTCTTGTTCCAGGAATCCAGTGTAAACACCGCAATTTCACTAAAATATTCAACAGAGTAGCCTAAAAACACGCCAAACAGCCCAGTACGTCACATTCAACGCAAAATTCTTGTGCGTCACCGGACGCTGAAGGCAATGACTACTTTCGTTTTTCTGTTTCCCCCGTTGCTTCCGTTATTCTGGGGACACGGGTAAGGGGAAGTCACTCAAGAAAACAATTATATCCGGGCACTTTTGATGACCCGTTCAAAACAAAAGTGGGCGATATTCGGACTTCCGGCACGTCGCAAATTGACGACAATAACGGCGAATGTTAAACAGCCGACCGAAATCGTAGATCTAGGAACCCGATGTTCCTTTCGCGCATCGCGTCTTTTGAAGTATTGAATAAACGACGATAGTCAAAGAGATTTAACCAGCTACGGTGATTCTACTGAAAAATAATTGTGTTTTCTGAAACACCTAGTCCGTGACGACACGACAGACGCACAAGTAATCGGAATTGTTCGCCTATTTGCAAACAAATAAACCAATTTTTTGAGCAAGTTAACCTTTCTCAATGACAAATAACATAGGATCAAAGCACACGTAAAAAAAACACAACCAAAAATACTAAATTTTGGACATTCTTGGAAGTTTGCATTGGTGTGCTCAAAATGACACTCCAGGAATTACTAAAAAACGAACATTTTTGGCACAAAATTTACAAACTCAAGATTGTAGAGCTGACAAGGGGTCTGAAACTGTTAATGCAGGTTCTACATCCTATATTTGACATGTGTATAAGTTTTGGAGGAATAAATACTAATGCATCACATTTTATGCACACTAATGTGAGATGTGTGTGTTTTTCCCCACGTTTTGGCAATGGCTCATATATATTATATAGATCTAGATCTATCTAAACTGGCCCTCCCTGCACCCTCCAAGGCACGTCACTAGAATATCAAAGAATTGAGATAACTGCGTCCCTTTCTCCCTTTGCACAGGTTCATGTAAACGCACGCTCAGTATAAATACACGCTAAGGCCAACTTAGGCTTAGTGCCGCTTAGGAGCCCTCCCGCGAGCAGTGCATTTAGTTTAGGTTTAGGCGGAGCCTGCTGTACTCTTTACACGTGCTGGGCACTGGAAAACCTCCCTCTGTAGTATGATAGGTTAGTTCTATCAATTGTGAAGAGAAGATAAGTGCGGTACAGTAGTCTGAGTAGATCTAGATTCTAGTCTAGATCTAGATAACTATTATAGTCTGTATAGAGCCTAATTCAAAACAAGAATGAACTGGTCATGCTGCAGTACCAAAGATGAAAACCCACAGGATACAAGGGCTTTCCCCGAAAAGAATTATATATCAATCCCAGTTCAATAAAAGGCATTCTTGTAACTAGCTTCAGTATTTTCAAATGCGACCACAAACTCATATCTAGATAGACTAGAAACAAAAGCCCAACCCGTGTTATCAACAAGTCATCATTCTGATCTCCCGTTGTCAACTCAAACGTCCGCCATCTTGGATGCCTCTTTGTAACCTCTCGCGGGATTTAATTCAGGCATAGATCAAGATCTACCTTTCGAATCAAATTTAATATTAAAATTAAAGGCACAGTAACTTAAGTTATATGTTTTTATTTTAATCCACATATCAATTTTTAAAAATATTTAAGACTTTTATTAATACGTCACACTTCCCCTTTTTTTGACCCGGAAACAATATTTCTGACCAATAACAATAAACCACGAGTAGAAGGCAACCAAGTGTTGTTGTGATGCCGGAACGGGCCATTTGAAGAACGTAGATCGACTTCATGAAGTAAATTTCGCTGCGTTGACAACACTGTTGTCTCTATCTTCAAAATGAAGTGTGATTCATCTGAATACTGGTCTCACCTAGTGAGATCATTCACCATATTGCTTTTAACCTGTGACATATACAACTTTGATGGTAAGAATCATGTTTAAATCGATAAAGTCGAGATGGCACAGAGGAGGTGATCACTTCTTACTTTCGGTTTCAAACGCAATGTCATTGAAGAAACGGTTTGCATGGCCTTCTTAATTTTTTAAGGCTGCTCAAAGTTTGTGTGATTTGCAAAGGGGCAACAAACTTTTGGTTTTTAATATTTCCAGTCTTAAATTCCTGGTCTTTATGGAAAATCGTAGTATAGCGTCGTACGGTACAGCCTAGATCTTGATCTATCAAGACCAAGACTAGGCTCTCTATCCCTAGATGTCTAGATCTAGATTTTGATCTATATTTCACACTGTTGACGTTGACTGATAGTTGAATTTAAGTTAGTTAGATCTAGAATCTAGATCTAGATGTAGTTTTAGATTTTAGGTAGGGCAAGGAGAGTCTCTGAGAAGGAAGCGGAGGGTACCTTCACCCATAATGAAACATCGTCATAGTGTCACCATGGCATTTTGACTGCGGCCCGAGGTCCCCTTGGCCTCCTACGGGGGCGGGAATAATAGCCTCTATCTGTAGTCTATAGACATAGACGTATGCTGGACTCAATTTAGAGTCCGAATATAATTGTGTTATCTATTCCAGTCCGAATAGTCACTTCGTTTGTGCTAAGGTAATATTGTTGTGGGCGGGGCTTAGGCCTATATGATGGATCTCATTTCACTCACCAGCAGTTGAAAATTTATTGTTAGGCCTACATATTTGTGAACTTGGGTAAACATTCACTAGAGGGATTAACAATTACGATAGACGAATGGTGTATGACAGCTCGTCCATAGCGTGAGGGGCTGATTCAAAATTTATGACAAAGCGTCGGGTAATGAGTCACCACGTCTGGCCACCTGAGGCAGGTAAATTTGGTAAATTTTTACTTTTACACCCACACACAGATACACTGATTGAAGGCTAAACTGCCATAATTTTTGCTGCAGACCACACGTGTGGCCACTAAAACCTTTGCAAAACAATTGTTTTCATGTAAATATCAATCCTAATTGCCAAAACATCAAATCATTGTGAAATTTAGGGGGGCGTCGTACCCCCGTGAAACCCCCCAGTTTCTTTTTTGGTCAAATATTACTACGCCACTGGTCCTAGTTCTGTTTTCAAACATCAATAACTCAGTAACTAGTGATTTGCGGCAAAAATGAAGGCTATATATTCGTATTCAGCATGCAAAATACTTCTAGAAAAAAAGTATATATGAGACGGGTGTATTAGTAAAAAAATACCTTTAAGCTGCTCAAAGTTTGTCTGGTTTGCAAAGGGGCAACAAACTTTTGGTTTTTAATAATATTTCCAGTCTTAAATTCCTGGTCTTTTTATAGAAAATCGTAGTATAGCGTATAGCCTAGATCTTGATCTATCTAATCTATCTAGACTAGGCTCTCTATCGCTAGATTTCTAGATCTACACATTTGACGTTGACTGATAGTTGAGTTTAAGATAGTTAGATCTAGATTTCTAGATCCGTGGTTTTAGATTTTAGGTAGGGCGAGGAGAGTCTCTGAGAAGGAAGCCGAGGGTACCTTCACCTTCTTCTAATGAAACGTCAGTGTCACCATGGCATTTCGACTTCGGGCCGAGGCCCCCTTGGCCTCCTACGGGGGCAGGAATAATAGCCTCTTTTTATAGTCTATAGATATTGTCAATGAGAAAAGTGGGTTTTATCATTTGTTATAGACGTGTAATCGAAAAAATTTTCATAAAAGCTGGAAATATTTAGGAACAAGAGTCGAAAGGGACGTATGCTGGACTCAATATAGAGTCTGAATATAATTGTGTTATCTATTCCAGTCCGAATAGTCACTTCGTTTGTGCTAAGGTAATATTGTTGTGGGCGGGGCTTATGAAGGATCACGTTTCACTCACCAGCAGTTGAAAATTTATTGTTAGGCCTACATATTTGTCAACTTGGGTAAACATTCACTGGAGGGATTAACAATTACGATAGGTGAATGGTGTATGACAGCTCGTCCATAGCGTGAGGGGCTGATTCAAAATTTACGACAAAGCGTCGGGTAATGAGTGACCACGCCTGGCCGCCTGAGGCAGGTAAATTTGACCATGGGTTGATAAAATAGGTGGCCACGGCGGTGCTGGACAGGTGACCATTTTACACAGTTAATAGAGAGAGAAAAAACGATAGGGGGGGGGATAGAAAGTGGCGATTTGTAGGTGGCCGTCATGGCTGGTTCGACTGTAGTTGGTGTTTTCAGCTTTTATATTCGCTAAGATTAAAGGTAGCTACGGTAGTGAGCTGCTTGTGATGTTTCATGACGGCACTTTTTTGTTTGGCTTTTTTACTTCACTCTTTTGGATAAGTATTTCTCTTGATTAGAAAGCAAGACTTAAATAGTGAGAATACACTGCATTATATATAAAAAAGTGATTTTAATTCTTAGATTATACAGTAGTCTCCGCCTAAGATCCCACCGCTTATGGTCCCGGTTCACCTAAGATCCTACTTTCAGGTTATATATTTTAGATGGGCTTTTTTCTTTTCTTTTTATTTCTTAAGAGAAAAAAAAAGAATACGAAACCTGGGCGCGCTCAGCTGATCTACCGATTAGCGAAAATGTGCGATCATTGTATGGTCCGTCACGGATCTTCCACTTTCGTGAATCGAATGGGGTCACACCTCTGTTGTAAATCTCGATCAGTGGTTACAATTTTTGCCCCAGAGAGGATCACACCAAGGTGTGAACTCGTCGACTCTTTGCTTTCCCCAATAACCTGAGCCGTCCACCTGATCTTACATCACACACTAGGTGGGGAGGGCCTACAAGCAAGCGTCAGACTGTTTTCAATCAAAATTTTGAATTGGTGGACGCTTACATTTTCCCGACCATAGCTCTTGTCTTTCAGTCACAACACAACGATTTATGATGCATCATGACATGGACGGAGACCTCCGTTAGAGATGGAAAGCAATGCATTTTTTATGGGGGGACGTTGCTTGAAACCAACTGGTTCCCACCTGACACAGTATTTTTTTTTAAAGTATTAATTTCATTGTTTTCCCGACCAGTCCGAATTAAATAATATTGTAGCCATACAGAATTTGTATATGAGTGTTTATTATATCACCAATTTTGGATCAAGTGTACTTGTTCATTATGCCAAAAACGTAATTATCGGCAACATATAGGAGGTAGATAAAGAGTTTTAATGGGGAGTTGGGGAGCCAATGGTATTGTGTGGAAAGATTCGCTTGAAATCCTTGATTTGCAAAGTGATACAAATTGTAGATCCAAAAATTGTCAATGTTACACTCGAAAAATAGGCCTTCAAGCTTCAAATGCTCACAAAGGAAGTATCATCATGTCTATTTTTAACTTTAAATTTACCAATATTAATATTATTGATCAACATGGAATGGAAGACTAAACAAAATATGGTTAGGAGCAGAGGGGGAAACGACAAGCCATTTTGTTCTGGCGGAAAGGGGTGAATGGAAATGACACAGAGCATCATCTGTTGTGGTCAAGAGAGTTCTAGAGCCATTTTCCGTCTCACCTTGGGACTATTTTAATTAATTCAGATATTGATCCAATTGATTGAGTTTTTACATTTGAGACCACATTCCAGGCCAACAATATGTAAACATGGAACTAAAATGTTAAGAAGGCTTTTATATTTTCAAAATGCTTCAACCAAAACCCCTGCCAACATGCTACAACTCAAGAGGTGAAGAAGAAATCTTTAAACCTTCTGAAAAGGAAACAAAAAAAACAAAAACGTTTGTGTCTACTCTAGAGGGAAGGGAACAAGGAAGTTCTATAGCACAGATCATTATTTAAATCATTATTAGCTATTGACATTTGGTCAATATTCAGCTGAGGGGAAATGGATATGAATAATCAATATTATATCCATGAATGAACTGAAGAGAAATAGGATGATGTTAGTTGAGCGAAAAATTGAATTTGGTCATATGAGTGTTATTGGCCGGGATAATATAAAAATGTTTTCTTTAATATACATTGTTTAATTCCCCCCCCCCCCCCCTTAAGAAAATTAACCTCCAAAAAACCACTGTATCTCCAAATTTCTAACCTACTCCATCTGTGATCACCTTAATTCATTGACTATGGTACATATTATTTTGGGCTTGTCTACAAATTTTTTTTTCGGGAGGGTGAAATGAGATGATGACTAGTGCGCAGTTCAAAGGTCTTTGGTGCCACAATTTCAAATAAATATTAACATATTATACACCTAAATTTTCAGTATGATTTGTAGAATACATCTGTATTTTTTCTTTGTGTATTTTTAAACTTTGGTTCTCGTAAGAGGCGATTATGCAACACAATTTTGCTTGGATGCGGATAAAATTTGAAAATTAAAAATTAATCATCTTTGGTGGAACTCAAAAAATATGTTTGCACCTAGTCAAATGATACATCAAAATAACCAAAAGTATGAATGCTCGAAAATATTGAAAAATTTGCAGTTATTTACATACATTCCACATAATTTGTACTCATTTGGATCATAACGTCCGATGTTTAAAAAAAATCTTGAAAAAAGGACAAGATGCATTCACAACCAGTAAAAACACACGCGTATATTATATGGAATTGTTTAGAACAGCATTTGGAATAAACCTACTTTTGTCTTGAGTGGTACTTTTTGTGTAATTTCACCCCCAAAAAATAGTAATTTTAGGGGAAAAAATATTTTGACAATTTAGATCTGGCACTGAAAAATATTGCTTTTCTCAATAACATTACAGAACAATGGCAATTTGAATCCATTTTACAAATATAGTATAAATATTCTAAAGAACAGTCTTACATATCTTCAGTAAGCAAAATAGTGATACATTTTGTTTTGTAAACGTACTAAGACTGATATCTGGGCTATAATTTGGTCATCGTGCTAAAACAAAGTCGTATAATCTATGAAGTTGTGTTTCAAAACTGAATCAAAACATACGATTTTTTGTGGAAACACTAGACCTGAAAGTCAGCGTTATATTATAACCTTTATTTTAACATGGGTATGTGGATTGGAATAAAATTCTAAGCTAGAATTATAAGTCGGTTCTCGAGCCGTCGGGGGCCGCTTGCCATAGTGAAGTCACTTTAGCCGCGCCGCTGCTCACGGCTCGGCGTAGCAAATGAGTTAAAAGCTCCTTGTTGTTATGACCTTTGTGTTTCAAACAAATTGAGAAAAGTAACTGGTAGTGGAATGTCTTTGTTGATGAGGACGGATTATTTCTTTTTATATGTGTTCATGATTTTCTTCCTCATTATGAGAGGCTGAATCAGGCAACGTCATTACTCAGTGAATTATTGTCCCATGCCTTTTTACCTGTTATTTTAATCGTTTTGATTTAGATTGAATTATTAGACATTTAAATTTTTAAAACTTCAAGATTTTGTTCCAAAAACCGAAATCCTAATTAAATGTTTTCTTCTTCCAGTTGCTGAGGGTGTTAATCCTGAGGTAGAACAGCATTTAGAGATGGGCAAAAGATTGCTCGCAGCAGGGCAACTTGCGGATGCTCTCTCTCACTATCATGCTGCTGTGGGTAAGTAAGATCCCTTGATTTGTACCTATACATACATACGTACGTTTATTCCATTGTCAGGTCTGTTGATTTCCAAAAAAAATACTGGATATTCAAGATGCGGAGTGCAGAGGACCAGAAAACTTGGGTGTCACAGCTGTCTGAAGCATACACTGGGTTACTCAATATTGCTTTCTCTTTCTGTGGGTTACTCAATATTGCTTTCACTTTCTTCAACATTCAGCAGTGCTCAAAGCTCCTCCCAAAGGAGCTGCTTAATCCTAACATTAATCACGCAGATATCAGTGAATCTATTGAATCAGAAATTTGCTGCATATCAAATTAAGGAATGACTTTCATCCTGATGTCTGGGATTTATTTACATGTCTTTGGATGCTGTACACTAAAGGCTAAGTTAACTGTTGTGGAGAGACATTCACACTTCACCTTTTTCACTTGAATTGCATGCAGACCAGTAGTTGATTATTTACTACTGTAAATAATTCAATTATTGCCCATTTGTCCATAAAGATAGGACGCTAGGTCAATATTTAAAAAATCTATTTGGCCAGGAATATGCTGGGGTCTCATGGAGTGGTGTGGACGTTTTGCACCATTTAAAAAAATCTATCTTTACAAATTAATGTCCATTGTCACATTGTGCTCTATTTTCAATGCTGACAACGTACTGTATTGTGTCTCTGACAGAGGGTGATCCAGACAACTACCTCACATATTTCAAGAGGGCCACAGTGTATTTGGCCTTGGGAAAGTCCCGTTCAGCGCTTCCAGACCTTAATCGTGTTGTTCAGCTCAAGCCAGATTTTACAGCGGTAAGCTTTTTGGTATTCAATGAAAGACAAATAGAAAAGTGACTTAATACTTGTTGTCGAATTGGATTACAATGGAAAGTTATTTATTGTGTATAAGTAACAAAATGTAAAATGTCCAAAAATACTTAGTCTCACCTCATCATGCATCTTCATATGTCACGGACAATATCAGTACTGGCAGTTGCCATGCAGTGCCTTGTTTTTCAGCTTTGTCTGACGTGGCTTGGCTTTGTTTATGATCCTATGGTTGCTTTCCATTGCATTACTGGAAGGCCACCTCCTAGTTTGATATTATGTTTCTTATTACTACTGGTGTTTATATGGAAGTGTCTAACTTCTTCCACATAGATGGTGTATTTCTGATTTGATCACATTTGGGTGCATAAAGCAAAACAGATTTGAAAAGCTTTTGGTAATTATGTATACAAGAGGACTGAATTTAACTTAAAATGGGCTTTCTTCTTTCACTTTTGATCTTAATGAAAGTACAATAGTGCAACACTACGTTTCAAGTTATAGATACTGGCAAAGTTTCATATTTTTTCATTCGGTAGTTTCTGAGAATATTCTGTTAACAAAATTTGGCCTTAGCTCCATTAGTAGTAAGATAAGCATTATATCAGCATGCAGTGTTAAATGTAATCAGATGTTTTGGGTTGTTGTTGTTTTTTTCCCCACTTGCTTACTTTGAAACATAATAATAGTTAAGAAAAATGTATGTGCAGTTTGGGAAATTAGACTTGATGAGAACTTTTAATCTAAAGTTCTTAAATGTGTTGTTCAGAATATGTCAAAATATTGAGATGGGTTGAAAAGTTACTATATAACCCTTTTCTAAAATATTTTGCTTTGTATGGTGGCGAATTATTGTGTTGGATGTGTAAGATGTCGTGACTGGTTTCGTGTCTAAAAGATTTTTTTGCATGTGTTTGGCTCCCACAGGCAAGGATGCAGCGTGGAAATGTTTTATTAAAACAAGGCAAGCTGTCGGAAGCTCTTCAAGATTTCACTGATGTGGTACGTCTCTTTTTTTTCTTTTTTTTCCCTGAAGAAAAAGTGAACATTTTAACTCTATACAATAGAAAGGTAATGAGATTAACTGTTCGGATAGTGCAATGAAGTTAAGTTTCGTGTGAGATAACAAACTACTGTTGCTCAAAGAGTGGAAATGTAACATGCAGTTAAAGGGTTTTGAGATTAACTCTGAAATTTCCCATCTTGGTGCCATGAAGTTTCGCTTGACACTACGAGCTGTATTGTCGCTCAGATGATGGCTCCATGCCCCATACGGACATAACATTGAATTGCCCTGACTTTTATTGTATTGCTGAATATGAGACTTTAGTTTTTATTGCTGTGATGTAGTTTTTGTCTGCGTCATCTTGCTTTTCCTCAGTAAGTTATTCTTTGACATAAATGAAAATAAAGGACGGCGCAGTAGTCTTTGTTTATCATAAAATCCTGTTATCATGAAATGATTTCAAAATTCCAGGTTTTTTTATTCCCTCTTTATTCTAGATTAACTTGAATAATATCATAATGCTTACCCCTTGTACTTTACCCCTGTTCATCACTCCTTTCTCAGTTTTTATTATTCTGAACATCATACCGGTCACTAAACCCTTTCTCCTTGCCTTAACTTTGAGACTTACAAATACACCTCAGTGTGTCAGTTGAGGTTTGAGGGTTATCCCTGAAAACAGACACGGTTCTTATGGACTTGAAAAATTTGATATCACCAGATGCAACGTGAGCCTCAGAATGGTGAGGCCGCTGAGAAGGCTCACATGGTGCCTGCCATCAGGGAGGGTATTGAACATGCAAAATACTACTTCGACAGACACCAGTATCATCTCGTTATAGAAGCCTTAGAACAGCCGATAGAGGTGAGTTGCAGTCTTGTGTGTGTGTGTACCCTAGGTTCATAAGTGGTACCCAGTTCTTGTTGAGTGGTCTGTGTGTAGACTTTGCAAGACACTACTTTGAATACATGTTTATTGTCTGGCCATTAAATGTACCTGTGGGTGGTTGGCGAGTGCTCTGGTGTGGTTTGCTTTTTCTTTCCTTTCAAACATCTATCATCTTTATCTCTCCTTTTTGTGTGTGTGTGTGTGTATTTTACTCTCTTGTAACACCTCTAATCTTCAGGACAACATGACCTAATTGTGTTACAAGTGCTGTAAAACTGTAACTTAATCTGAAAGCAAACTGCAATTATTTTTTTTTAATTTATTTATTTATTTATTTTTTTATGTGTTCCAAAGATATTGGTTTTGTGCTGTTACTAGCAACACATGACCACTCCCAATATAACCTGGTTTCAATGGAAAGGTCAGGGGGGGGGGGTCATGGGAGATGACTGTTAGTCTGTGTGTATATAAATGCATGCTTGCAATTGGTGTATGTTGGTTTACTTCTGTTAAAGTGATTTATGAATATTCATGAGAGATAATAGTGGGACTGTGGGCCTCCAGTTGTATGTCAAGTAGATGTTTCACATGAGACCTTTTTATGTCCCAAATATCTCATTTACAGTTGTTTTTTTTATACTTTTTTTATTTGTCGTGTGCTAGACATTTGATGAATTAAGTCATTTGTTAGTTTCGCTCTTGTGGGGAATTTGAAATATATTTTATTAAAAAGTCTATAAATGTAATGTCCCTTATTCGTCCTTCATTCAGATATGTCCATGGGACACAGACTTGCGAGAAATGCGAGCGGAGTGCTTCATCGCTCAGGGAGAGTTGTTCAAAGCGATCAGTGACATAAGGCCCACGGCCAAGTTGATTCCGGACAACACCAAAGCGTTCCTGCGCATGAGTTTGCTGCACTATCAGATGGGAGAAGAGGAGGAAAGTTTAATGTGAGTTCCTAGCTGTCCCATACTTTTCTTTTCTCTTTTCTAGTAGGGGCTATTGTGGAAATGTGCAAAATTGTTTGGGGGAAAGGGGGGGGGGGGGGTTCTATATATAAACAAGTGACAGATAAACAGTCTGCATGGAAGGTATTTTGTATCATCTGTTTCGTTTCACATTGGCTTAAGCTTTGGTTATGCTTTATGGCCCTGATAAATATCAGAAAAAGTACTTTACTGCTTATGTGTTTTTTAGTCCGTTTGATGTGATGAAGAAATCAACTGCTCAATATGACTCCTCCCTATGTCACTTTTCAAAACAGAGTATGGCAGAGTTTTACACTAAGCAGTCGAAATGTCTTTGTGTATGGATGTGTTACCATTATATGACAGTAAACAGGAAAAGGTGAAGTCCCCTAAAAGTTATGTGTGGAAACTGAAAGGTACATGAAAAGGGCAAAGCGTTCTCCTACCAATAGCTTGCCTTTGTGTTTGAGTTGTTTAGTTCTTCTTCATTTCGGTGAGCTGTCTCAATAATAGCAACATTTCATCGACAACAAATAAAAGCACAATGAGATTCTTTGAAAAACAATGGAAGGAAGGCAACACGCTAAGAAAGAATGTAGGTATAAAAGGTTAAGAGGGCTCGGTTATGTTAAACGAAGCCTTCACAGAGTACAGAGTGAAACGGAGCTTTGCTCTTGTTAGTAGGCTGGCAGATTGCTCAGTTTCATTTTTTTTCCCCCTTTGGTTTCTTCAACTGCCTGCTCCTATACGTGCTGTACTCTGCTGTATTGATGGTCACAGCTGGTGCCAGATGATCAGTCTTTTATGATGTTCATCAGACTAGTGATAATGTATTCATTTTATGGGGAGGGGGATTATTCTCTTCTTTTATGAAGATGGAGTAATGGATTATAACGAGTCCCACAAACACGTGGACATGGCCAAATGGAGGTGGGGGCCGTGGGTGGTTGGCGGGCACTCTTGTGTGGTTTGCTTCTTCTTTCCTATCAAACATCTAGCGTCCTTATCTCCCCTTCATCTTTTTTATGTTTGTTACTCTCTTGTAACAGCTCTAATCTTCTGCCGCTCATATGACCTTATGCAGTTGCGAGCGCCGTAAAACCTGCTAAAAAATTTTTAAAGGACGTGGGGCCGCCGCTCTGTGAGGCAGTCCGATGTGACCTGGTGTTTTGACTACTGTTCATTTTACATTGTGAATGTTGCTGTCATTATTATTTCTACATTTAATAGCGGGTTGCCCATCATCGCATTTACTGGTTGTATACGAGATATTTTTATGTTAATACTTTAGTACTTTAAGAGCACAGTGGAGAAAGGAAGGATGGTTGTTGGGTGGGGTTTTTTTGTTGTTTATTTACTCACTTTTAGTGTTAGTCTCACAATTATCCTAATCTGTTTTTGGAAAATGTGGCTGTTGCACTGTTGTTTCTTTCATGTGTGTTTGGAGTGTATTGTTGTTTTGGGGGGGGTTCCTGTCATTTGTCATTTAAAAAAAAAAATTTTTGTCTGTCTTGCCAGTGGCAGTTTTATTGTCCTGTCCGTTTTATTGTCCTGTCCGTTTAAATGTTTCAATTTTCATAATTTTACTTTTTCCATGGTATTAGTGATTGTTTGCATGCTGATGTGCCTCTCTTTTATTGCCTAAAACAGCTGAGCCTATATGGCTCTGGGTGGCTGGAGGGTGCCACTGGAAGCTCCTTTTTCTGTACTTTCCCTCTTTTATATATGTTTGTCTGTCTTGCTTTGTTTTATCCAAGCACTAAATGAACCATTGTGGTGACGATGTGAGATTTGCTTCTCTCATCTCAAAACTGTGAACTTGCACCCAAATGTCTCTGTGGGTGGTTGGCGGGTGCTCTGGTGTGGTTTGCTTCTTCTTTCCTATCAAACATCTATCGTCCGTATCTCCCCTCGTTCTTTTTTATGTTTGTTACTCTCTTGTAACAGCTCTAATCTTCTGGTGCTCATATGACCTTATGCAGTTGCGAGCGCCGTAAAACCTCTACTAAAACTAAAAAATGTCTCCCTCCAGGCAAATCCGAGAGTGCCTTAAGCTGGACCCGGACCACAAGGAATGTTTTAACCACTACAAGAAGGTGAAGAAGCTGGCCAAGCAGCTTGCAAGCGCCCAAGAGCTGCGGAACAACCAGCAGTACGACGAATGCGTGAACAAGGCCAAACAGATCGTGAAGACAGAGCCGGACGTTGTTCCCTTTGTGCTGAGGTCCAAGTCGTATTTGTGCCATTGTCATGCGCAGGTGAGACATCGACCGATCCCTCCTCCTACTTCTTTTTCTTCTGTTTTTCACTTTCCTCCTGCTCCTCTTTTTTTTTTCTCTGGCCTTTTGTCTTCCTCTTTTTCTTCTTCTTCTCTTCTTCTTTGTCCTCCTCCTTTAGTTCTTATCTTCTATTTAATTTTTCCTTCTTAGCCTCCTCTTTTTTCCTCTCCAAAATTTATTGGTAAACCTGTAAAAATGTGATTTCATCATTACAGACTTGATATTGTTATGTTTGACATTGGTCCTACATTTTTTTTACTGTACTTCCCTTGAGTTCAGTAGAATTGGGTTTATGGTCAGTCAGCATTGTCATAGCCATGCTTGACTCCCATAGTTGTACCAGGAAAATTTATTATCTCCATTTTCTTGAATAAAGAGTTCCATTACTTTGTGGGGGTGGTTTTTTGGTCAGGATAAGTGGCATAGCTGTTTGTTAGAAATCTACATTAAAAAAACATAACAATTTATGCTCTTTTATTGTTACAGCTCAGCGAAGTGGATGAAGCTCTCAAGGCATGCAGTGAAGTCCTGCAGCTGGATCCAGACAATGTAGATGCTATGGTAGACAAGGCAGAAGCTCATATAGCCAATGAAGATTATGAAGCTGGTGAGTGATCTTGGGTTTTTTGGCACTTTTTCTGTGTATGTATATGTCCTTGATCCACAAGTTTGCAGCAGAAAATACATAAGGGGGGGGGGGGGGGGGCTCTCGTGGCCTAGAAGTTAAGGTGTTCGCCTCTCATTCAAAGGGCCCTGTTTCGAATACGGGTAGCGACGGAAACATTTTCTTTTCTAAAATGTTCTCCTTTCACATCCACTGCTCTCTAGCAATGTTCTGTCATCTGCTCTCATCTCCACTTTCTTCTCCCACCCGCTTACTTCCTCTGCTCCCTCCTCTGGGCTCCTGACTCTTTTTCTGCAGCCTTTCTACTGCTACTCCTTGGCTCCTTACTGCTCTCTTTCAGCCACACCCCTGATCTTCTTGTCGGATAGATCTACACCTCGCCTTCTCGGATAATGACGAAAAATTTTGGAGGTCTTGTGTACAAGTTGCGCACATTAACTCACTGGCTACTGGGCCCTTTCATAAATTCACAAGTCACAAGCGTTGAAGACTGGCTTTTTTGGGAGTATTTCAATAAACCACCACAACTTTCAGAATTACCCCATTGTAATTATTTTTTTGGTACCGTAAAGTTACATTCAAGCTTAATCTAATACAAAAAACTAAAGTTATGATTTTTTTTAAATTGGCTTGAATTTGACTTTTCTAAAAAATTTCCAGAGACGTGACAGGTAGAATGAAACTCATAACAACAACAAAAATAAAAGTTCGAAATGTTCTGTTTTAGTTTGTATGCATGTGTGAGTGATTGGTGAAAATATAAAAGCTGGGCTGTGCGCTGATTCAGACCCGTACACTGATTTACATGAGACAGACGTAGGACACAACGTTGTGATTTCGTTGCGCGAGCAACAACACGAGTGCTAGAGCTAGATCTAGCCCTAAAACTACGACTCAGGCAGTGTTCGGGTGCATATCCAGGGTCCTACCTGTCAAACACATCATATTCTGAGACACTAGAACATGTAAAACGAACAGAAGTATCAAAAACAGCGAAATAATGTGATTCTTGTTCATGCGACTTCTTCAACCGTTATTACGACGCGACTGTCAAATTTCTATCAGCTGTGTAGAAAAAACATAGCGCGAGTTCCGGTCAGTTCAACCCCAGTTGGGGTGACTGTCCTTCACCTTCAATAACTTAAAAACTATCGGCCCCTGAGATAAGAAACTAAGTCTAAGTAGCTCAGCGCTGGCCAAACAAAGGCACGAGACGGATCACACGACGCGTGTGTGATTTTTATAGAGAAAAAAAACTTCCAAAGCTGATCACACACAGCTTGCGAGAACCGTCGCGAGCATTGCAGCGGGGGTTACGCAACTGTTGCGTGAGACGTCTGAAGTGAGTTAAGGATCCCTTGGTGGTCTCTAAAATTGATAAGAGTTGGCTTCGGCCGTCACCTGAGCAAAATTCAAAACTTCCTATCAACTGAAAATGTTTAATGTGTCCCGCGCGCTCATATGATCTTATGCAGTTGCGAGCGTCATAAAACACGTACCAGAAAAAACCCCAAACAGCTGTGGACTTATTCAGTTGGCTGCTTGCCCGCAAGTGGACTCTGCACCTATCTGCATACATGTAGTCGAGAAAACAAGTTCCTGTTGAATTTGGCACCAGTGTGAAAGGCATAAATCCTTGCCATTACTGCTTTGCTAAGCATTGCAACAGCAGAATTAGGAGTTTCACAATTTACATACTGTACACTAATAGTTTGTTAAACCAAATTCTCTTGGGTGGTTGGCGGATGCTCTGGTTTGCTTCTTCTTTCCTTTCCAACATCTGTCATCCTTGTCTCCCCTCCTTCTTTTATGTGTTTGTTACTCTCTTGCAACACCTCTAATCTTCTGCTCTTATGTGACCTATTGTGTTGCAAGTGCCGTAAAACTCTTACTAAAACTAAACTGACCCAAACTTTTTGTGTTTTGTCCTTGTACTTGCAGCTATCGAAGAGCTTCATGCAGCTCAGGAGATTGATCAGAACTCCCGAAAGGTGCAGGAAGCTCTGAATAAAGCTCAGAAACTGCAGAAGCAGTCTAAGAAGCGAGATTATTACAAAATTTTAGGTGTAAAAAGGTGAGTTCAGAGGAAATTATTTCCCCACTTTTATTAATTGTAACCAAATTTGGTTCACTTATTTGTTTAGAATTCCATCATTGCAATTGACAGGAACTTAAAATAGATATAATGAATGACTTAGACACAGTTTATAGATTATTTTACTTCACAGGGTATCGACCGTACTGCAAGTCTAGATTTGTTAATATTTTTTTTATTAGCATTGCATCACAAAAGTTTGTATGTGATTTACTGTCGTGAACCAATTGTTTAACGCATTAGTTTCTCAATGTGTTATTATCATCATGAACTACTGCAAAGATTTATTTTAGTGATTATTGTCGTTTGTTTTTGTTAGGGTGTTTGGTTTGTTGTTGTTGGGGGTTTTTTTTGACATGTCCATCATTTTGTTTTTCAGCTTTTTTTTTTTTTTTACCTCTCTCTCTATTATTTTCCCAGTTGTGACTACCAGATATTCCAACTCTTACTGCTCAGTTTATATCTCTCAAGACAACCAGTGCAACTGGCTGATTGATTCCTGATTTTGTAAGCAACTTTGTAACATTTTGTATAATGTCATAACAGAAATCTCATCGTATTATTTCAACAGAAACGCCAAGAAAAAAGAAATTCTCAAAGCTTATCGTAAACTGGCAGCCAAGTGGCACCCGGACAAACACGAGGGGTCAGATAAAGACAAAGCTCAAAAGGTGTTCATCGATTTAGCCGCTGCGAAAGAAGTTCTCATTGATCCAGGTTTGTTTTCACTTTTCCCGTTGAACGTGCTTGTACTCCAAGTGTTTTTGACTAATTTCTAACTTGTTGATTTTGTAGGAAAGAGGAAGAAATGGTTGTGTTATAACTGACTTTAAGCCGTGGCAGAAGGACTTGATCCCATTTTGTTGGTATATATTCCTATTTTAAAATATATTTTATAACATTTTAATTTCAAGTGATGTATGCTATAAAGCTTCTTCTCTCCCGCGGGGCAGTGCCACTGACTGAAGTGTCTTTAGGCCATTCTCAAAGGGGGACATCTCTTGTTCTTATGCACTGTAGAATTGTAAATGGGCTGATTCAACAATGTCGTGCTCATAACTGTGCCTGAACTACAACAGGGAACTGCTGCTTTTTCTTTCCTTATCCTTACTATCGTCATTTTTTCCTCTACTTCTTTTGTATGTTTGTCACACTTTGTGACCTGCTATTTCCGGGGTGCCTTGATAGTCAAAACAGAATTTGTGCTGTTAAAGCTAGAGAGGTGAGCAGAGTAAGCCCGATTCCCTGTAAAGACTTCTCTGTTGGCATCCACCCCTTGGCGCTCATATGACCATATGCAGTTGCGAGCGCCGTAAAACCTCTACTAAATAAAAAAAGCTTCTTCTTATCGATCAATACCCTTCCAGCTATTACATTTTTTTCAATAAAAACTATCAGAATGTGACTGCAAAGATATTATGTTGCTGTTTGGAAATGTATCTTTGGTTGTTGTGTCGTTTTGTGTACCTCGTAGATTTAGACAGTAAATCAGAGTGAGGAGAAGGTGAATATCGAAAGTGAGCCACGTTCCCCAACTCCTCGTGATGCTTTGCAGGTGCAGGAAGTTTGATTTCTCTGTATTTTAATAAACTTTCAGAGTGGGTGATTGGCGGGTGCTCTGGTGTGGTTTGCTCTTTCTTTCCTATCAAACACTTATCATCCTTATCTACCCTCCTTTTTTATGTTTGTTACTCGCTTGTTACACCTTTAATCTTCTGGCGCTCATATGACCTTATGCAGTTGCGAGCGCCGTAAAACCTCTACTAAAAAAGAAAATTTCCGTACCTATACCTTTTTTTATCGTTAGCATTGGTTTACTTTGTTCTTCTTGCACAGAGAAACGTCAGAGATTTGATGCCGGAGAAGATCCCCTTGACCCAGAGGAGCAGCAAGGCGGCCATGGACACCCGTTCTTCCACCAAGGTTTCAACCCGTTTGGCTCAGGGGGCTTTTCATTCAAGTTCAACTTTAACTGACACTAGCTTCTCGTTTAGGATTGTTGTTTTCTTTTTCTCAATTTTCATCTCACCATTGGTTATGTTACAAAGCTCCACTGCTATGTGCGCTCTCGTCTGTTGTTTCCTCTCTTCTTTTCATACAGCAGGTTAGTCAACGACGCAGTGTGGTTTTTTGACAGATTTTTTTCAGTTATTTATTGACCTCTGTTTCAGCACAGGAATTGTTTGTTCTTTTTCTTGCGTCGCATTGACAAAACTGAAGACAATATCCCGATGTCGGGAAAAATAAAAACAATTCGTGTCCTGAAAGAAGCAATTTCTGCTGCAGGTTTTCATCTGTCTCTGGTTTTGCCAACATTTTGCAGCGATGGCCTTGTTGAGCACAAGAGGTTTTTTTTTCCCTTTTACTCCAACTTTTGTGTAGATACCAAAGTATTTGAATAAACCAAAATGGAATTGTGAAAACTCAAAAAGTTAACATAGAAAAGACCTGAAACTGAAACAAAATCTGTTTCAGAGAAAAGGGATTTCAGGCTGTTCTTGCATTATCTTTCAGAATTTCTTTGTGAGTGCAAGGACCGAAATAAAGCAAAGGGAGAACAGCTCCCTGTAAAACCATTTCAACAGTGAGGAGTTTCTACTGATCATTCAGTTGAAATGGCCATGAATGTATCATCTTTTGTCTTCAGCCCCCTGGTGATTACTTTGCAGCCGGTTTATCTCTTGGTTTGTGTGACTGAATGATGATTGTTTTATGCGTCTGATTTGTGGCGAGCTCTATGTGCCTGTGTGGACTGAGATGGTTGAAAGAATGGGTTGGCGAGCCTGTGGGCTTTTTTTTCAGGCTCCTTGAATTTCAGAGTGGTTCAGAGTGCATTAGACTTTCCACATACCACTGTTGGATTCTTTATCTGGGGATACACTTGTTTGAGGGGGGGGAGGTTGTTTTGTTTTGGGTTTTTTCCTTGTTCAAATTTCAGACAACATGCCACTTGGGGTCTTTAGTATATCTTGATTGTTTCTTCCTCGATAAATTCTTGTTTCTAAGATATCATGACATTAACATCTTTGAAGCACCGCAGTCCTTTTTTCAATTCCTTTGGTTTTCCAGTGGTCCTCATCTCTGATATTGCCTTATAGCTATTGGCCTATTTGATCCTTTTCACATTTTAATGCTTTGTGGCCTGACAAACATCTTATCATCTCATGTTTTAATTTCACATTGGGCAATGAGGTTTGCATTTTTATAGGAAATCTTCAGCACCTGTTCTGGTGTAAAAAAAAATTCATATCATTTTATGAGAAATGGAAGTTACAAAAGATTTGTAGATTCAGAACTATAGTTAAATGTTTTCCTAAATTACTGGGTGTATGCTGTTTATAATTTGCTCTCTTTTCTGAAAACTGACTCAAGTGCTATATGGTGTGCAGCACACAATTGCCAATTTTCTGAAAGCCGAGGTCCTTTAAGTATCATGTTTACCATTTTGTTGTAAAAAGTTGTAGCCGAGGAGGGTTGTGGTGAAGCCCACTGATGCCTGGGTGTGCGTGGTAGTTGTTGTGGCTTTAGTGCAATATGAGTGGTGTGCACCTCTGATGCTGACAGAATGATCCTGGTTGGTTGGTTGCTTTTGCATGGGCTATGCATTTCTCTACATCAATGAAGTTGTTGTGAGACGAAACTATTTTTTTAAAACCTTTGCTGACTCATGGGTGATAAGAATACTTGAATGGAGAGAGATTGTTACTCTTTAAGACAATTGGAACCTGTGTACGGTCATCTTACTCCCCCACCTTTATGTTTTGTATGGAAAGAAACCATGGTATTGTTGTTATTTTCAACCATTGTGATTTTTAATTTGGGGGGACTTCGGTCTGCAGCTACTTTCTGAAAGATTCGTTACAATAGAATGTTCGAATTTTGTGTGTGTTTTGGCCCCTGAGCTCTTTTTATCCTGTAAAGGAAAAGTTTAAAATGGCCTTTCCTCCAACTCTATTGTAGCTGCAATGGGAGTACCAGGGATGTAAGTGGGTTTCATTTTAACTAAAGGGATGGGTTTTATGAGAGCCCCCTAGAAAATACCATGGTCCTAGAAGGAGGGACATTGTGCTTGTGGTCAGTAGTAACGATAATGGTCCTATTGTTTTCTCAGTTTTAAATACTTATCTGCTAAGATATTGCCTATTGGGGTTGGGTTTTTGGGTGTGTGTGTTTTTTTGTTTTTTTAAAATATATATGTGAGGCAGCGTGGTGGAATCAGGCTCTCGTCAAAATAATCAAAGTGAAGAAAATTTTATTGTTCCCCAGGTTTGTGAATTTTTATAAAATTTTTGTTTTTTGGTTCAACACCTTTCATGCCCGTTAAAGAACTCTTTTCTGTGTGGATTTTTCTGAAAAGCGGTGATTAAAGGCACAAAAAATGTGAATTTTCAGTTACCATGGACTCTTAAGCTAAGGAAATAACTAATCTTTGGCGGCCATTTTCTCACTAATTTTACCTCTGAAAACAGGTGACCCTCACCTCCTTCATTCGCAAATCAAGATAAATGGGTTGGTTTTTTTAAGATAATACCAATAACTCTATATGCCCAAAAATTGACGAGAGCCTGATTCCACCCCGCTCCCTCACATATAACAAGAATAAGAATGATGACCTCTAATAGAGAGAGGTCTGTTTTGCTGGCGAATAGAAAACTTACATCCCTGGAGCACTGACAAAGAACAAATCCCTCTTAAAAGTTTTTTAAAGTTTTAAAAATGTTCTTTTTTATGTTGAGGACAAAGCTTGAGAGCATAATACTACATCGGTGTGAATTCCATATTGACCATATTGGCTTTGTAGTGCAGCTGGCACCATTGTTTGTTCTTCAGTGTGGCTGAGTTTGTTGTGCAGAGTGATGTTATTTGTAACTGAATCTTGTAAATGTCTGCCTGACATTTGATGGAAGGGATATACTGAAAATAAAAATTACAAATGTTACATTATATAATATACGGTCTTTATCAGTTTTTTTCTTTTCTTCAGACTTGAACACAAATTTCAGGTCATTAAAATGCAAATTAAAAGCAGATTTGTTTCATAAAATTGTACATAGCGCAAGTTTATCTAGAGAACAGTTTGGACAAAATGGGCTTATGTATTGTGGGACAAATTTATAGAGAAGAATAAAGAAAATCAATTAAGGTGTACGAGAAATATCAAGTTTTGAAAATAGTCAACCAAAATTGAGAAAAACGCTAAATTTTACTTCACATGAGTAAAAGCGTTCAGCTTCCGGGGCGTGATCAGCCCGTTCTGGATTCAGATACAAGGACGGTAAAACCACAACAACCACCTCAGATAGATCTAGATCTAGATATCTTAACATGCCGAGAACATTTTATAGAATTTTTGGTGGGGGTTGGGGTTTTTTTTTTTTGGGGGGGGGGGTGTTATGCTGTACATGCCTTGTTCCAGTGGGGTGGGATGGGGCTACAACACATAGAGTGGAAACCATATATTATATAACAAGCCCGGTAATAACAAGAATTTTTAAAATCCCCGTTTTTTCCTACTTTTGTCTCTATTAAAAGTTATCGAAGCCCAATCGGTTAGAGCAGGGACAAAGGCTTGTTAACATTGTGTAAAAAGTTAGAGAGAGAGAAAGACAGAGTTAGTAACGCAGTAATGGAGCAAGCCACACCACTGCAAGCACACGCAGCAGGTGAAGCGAGATATACACACATGTACATATTTATATATAGAGAGAGAGAATTCTGTGATCTCGCTCTCAGCCCAAGCTACACGCACACGTAATGTGTCATGCGCATGGTACTTATGGCAAGGGAAACTACCCATGAATAGATACAGCTGGATTAATCCACAAATGCTTACTTCCCTTGCATTTTTGATTTATCAGCGATCTGATATAACAGTACATTTTCTCTGGTCCCACCATCCCTGTTATATCAGGGGTTTCCACTGTACATGAAGAGTCGCCCTGATATGGTTGCAATACAAGAAAAGTTTGGGGAACGCCTTAAAATTTACAAAGAAATGGTTACGACATTCCCCCAACTTGTAACCCTTCAATTGCTAGTTGAGTTTTACTAAGTTTTAGTAAGAGTTTTACGGCACTTGCAGCACATTAAGGCCATAAAGTGCCGAGGATTGGAGATGTTACAAGAGAGTAACAAACACAAAAAAGGAGGAGGGGAGATAAGGACGATAGACGTTTGATAGAAAGGAAGGAGTAAACCACACCAGAGCACCGGCCAACCACCCACTTCAATTATTACCGTAAGTGGTTTTTGACAGACAGTGTAGGGGGGCTCTCGTGGCCTAGAGGTTAAGGTGTTGGCCTCTCATTCAAAGGTTCCGGGTAGCGACCGAAAAATGTTTTTCTCTAAAATTGTCTCCTTTCACCTCTGTCTGCTCTCTAGCAATGTTCTGTCGTCTGCTTTCGTCTCCTCTTTCTTCCCCCACCCCCTACCCTTCTTCGCCCCCTCCTCTGGGCTCCTGACTCTTTCTGCAGTCTTTCTACTGCTACTACATGGCTCCTTCTTACTACTGTCTTTCAGACACACCCCTGATCTTCTGGTAGGAAAGATCTACACCTAGCCTTCTCGGACAAGGGCGAAAAATCTCGGAGGACCCGTGTGCTAATTGCGCACGTTAATGTTCCTTTGGTGGTCTAAAATCGAAAAGAGTAGACTTCGGCCGCCACCCGGGCAAAATTCAAAATTTCCTGCCAACTGAAAATATTATTAGGTGTGTCCCGCGCGCTCATATGACCTTATGCAGTTGCGAGCGCCGTAAAACACTTAGGCCTACCAAAAAACAAAAACAAAAAATACAGTGTAGGGAAACAACTCACAAACAATTAATCGAACAGTTGAAACTCAATTTTGAACAAAACATTCCAAAAATCGACCCAGAAATATACAACAGGGTTATTCAAAATTTTCAGTGACATACTCGAGCTTGTATGGAAAGAAATGATCTCCAGATGCAGATCTATAAATAGCCATAGCGAACACCTTCGTCATGTTTATTCAGCAACATCAATTTGGTATTGATTTGTTCTTCAAAACACAGATAGTGACTATTTGAAATAAAACAATATGTGTTTTGTTTTTGTTGGGTTTTTTAAGTTGCAATGTTTAAGTTTCAGTCAGTTTTGATTGAAATTTTTAAAACAAATAACTGATGTTTTTCATATATTGACAAATGTTACATCCCCATGGTTGAAAGTTATTTCTGAGGAGTTTCTGAAAATTGGTTGAAAAATAATCGAGTTATTGCTGCTTAAGTTAAGTGGGTCCTCTTTTTTAAGACATCCGGTACTACTGAAAATGCGTAAATTGAATTTTGAAAAAGAATTTACTGGCCGCAGCAGCAACACGTTAAACACAATATATTCAAGACATTACTTGTACACTTACATCATACTTACAGCCTGTACACATATAAACCATGTCTGGTTGAGTTGCCGCACTTTAACGTCCAGGTTTTGGGGTTTTTTTGCTAGGAGTGTTATATTTTATTCAAAGTAAAGACACGCCACAGTGACCACCCACTCCAATGCTTTCATCAACATGACTTTGTGATACATGTAGCCTACTATGTACATGTACTCAGCTGAAATTATCTAACACAGCCACCCATTGTTGGGGAGGAAAGCGGCCGTCTTTAGCAGGATAATAAAAAGGAGAAGATGGAGATGGATTGGAAATGTTTTGAGAAGAGAACCAGACTCTATTGTGAAGACTTCCCTCCACTGGACACCCGAAGGACGTCGCAAAAGGGGAAGACCCAAAGTGACCTGGAGACGCACAGTAGAGTCTGAAATGAAGTCCTGGAATCATTCGTGAGGAACGCTGACCAAGATGGCCCAAAACAGACAGAGCTGGAGATCCTTTGCTGCTGCCCTAAACGCCAGATGGCGTAATGGGTACATGTAGTAAGTAAGTTTAGCAGGACTGTTCAAATTAAAGAAAACATAGGACTGCCACAAGGCCCATAAGATTTTAAAATGTTACCGACTGGTAAACTTTGGTAAACAGTAGCGTAGGAGGGTCCAGAGTCCTCGCTTTCACAATGTGCTGAGCAGAGATTGGTTCATTCATACAACAGGCTAATATTACTAATAATAACGACGGATGAATGGATTATGACGGCTCGTACATGGTGTCTGGAGCCTATAGATGATTTATGGCAATGCGTTCAGCAATGAGAAATTTGCATGACCATCTGAGACAGGGTTTTTTGGGGGGTTGTTAGTTGATAAAATAGTCAAACCCTGTTATACCGCCTTCCTCAGGACAAGCATGAAGTCATGAAGTTAATTGTACATTGTATTACAGGATAGCACCGATTGTAATCATAAATAGTTGTAGAGACCAGAGACAAAGTATGTGGCCAGTCTTGACCCATCTTGATGATAAGTCTGTCTTGTGAGAGGGAAAACTGAACTTTATGTGAATTCATATTGAGAATTTCTGCCGGACCAGAAGCCAGAATATACTATTATGTCCCATGTGTCAATTACCCTGCAGACGTACTTAAAAAAACAAAATCAAACCCGATACTCTTCAGTCCTCAAACTACCTCAGACTTTTCCTGTAATATTGCAAGGCCTCACACTATAAAAGACTCATGGGCACCTGCCAGTGCCAGCCTTTTGGTCATGGAGCTGGTATCTGGATACCACAGAATAGTTTGCCAACATGCCAATGTGGTGCACTTCCTTTTAAGTTTCTCTAGGCGATTTTAAAATTTCACTCCCAATTTTTAAACTATTGATCGAAGCTTAAAACTAGTGACATTTTCATAATCTGTGCAAATCGGTACATGTAATAAATTAAATGCTAGAAAAAGGCCGAACTCGCAGAGACGTGTGTGGGGCAGAGATTACCAAGCAGTCACCAAGTGAGTGTCGTGCGCCATGTGTAGTGTGTACCTCCTCTGGTGGTCAATTCACTGGCGGTGCAGCTGGGCAAATTTAGATTAGTTTAATAACGACTGTACAATTCAAGACAGGTGGCTGGCGGTGGTGTGAAGGAGCAAATGCTATGTTTATACAGGCCTCCCTTTTCATACACTGGCAAAACCTAGCGGTAAGCTGGGCTGACGGTACGAGCTTTGACTGTAGAGTAACAACGTTTGACATGTTTTTGTTATATTCGTGCCATTAATTATAGACCTATAGACACATAGTTGTCTTACTAACTTATAGTAACAGTATAAGTTATACATCTGGTCGTCTGAGCAGGTTTGACTGTACTTGTATTCCTGAACAGGACCACTGTCACATAAGTGGAGATTGTGGAGTGGAAAGTGACATATAAATCTACATGGAATTCTGCACACATAAGTCTAACAAAGGCCAAGAGTGCGGTCAAAAATTCGTGGCATAACTTATCCTCAAATATAATATTTTTAATGGGTGAATCAATGTCACCCACACTGTACAGCAGTTTATCTTAACTTAATCATGATTTCCCACAACAATTGAGATTTTAAAAACTTTTCTTCAGAAATTTATTAAAAATACCACAAATCTCATCCACGCGGAAAATGAAATTGTTCACGGTAGGCCTACTTCCCGCGCTCTCACGTTTTGTGTACGCATATGGCCTACGTCAGCCCACCGATGGTACCTTTTAGTAGCAAAACTAGTTACATTATAAGAAATTAATTTTATATGGTGAACACTTTTTTGCACTTAAAAGTTAAAGTTCCTAAAACATGCTTTCAATATAAACATAATCTCGAGCAATTAGAAAAAAAAATGACGGACTCACTTTTATTTTTAAAAGCGATTTTGTCCAGGCTGTAAACCTTTTAATAAAAGCTGTAGAAACCACCCAAGCAAATGAATGAATGAACTGAGCCTCACCTACAACAGGGAACTGCTGCTTTTTCTTTCCTAATCCTTACTATTGTCATTTTTCCTCTACTTCTTTTGTATGTCACTCTCTTGTGACCTGCTATTTCAGGGGTGCCTTGATAGTTGACGCAGACCTTGTGCTGTAGAAGCTAGAAAGGTGAGCAGAATAAGTCTGATTCCCTGTAATGACTTCTCTGTTGACACCCACCCCTTGGCGCTCATATATAATATGACCTTATGCAGTTGTGAGCGCCTTAAAGCCCTCTTACTATAAAAAAATAAAAAAAAAATAGACAAAATGGCATATATATGGAGGAGCTTACGATAAGCAGTCATAGACACATGTATTATAGATCTATGCAGAGTGAGACAAAGAGAAAAAACCCACAAATGCCACCATGGAAGTCAACAAACGCAATTGTTAAGTTGGAAGCAAAAACTTTATTCTCAGTAAAATCATCAAAAATCAAATTTCAGTATTTCCATCAATATGGGCAAAATCAAAATGTGTATTGAATACATAGTTATAAATAAGTTTTTTAAAATACAAAGTCAGTCATCAAACTTACCTAATGCTTTTGTCCTTTTTTCAGTCACTTCATACTAACTAACCTTACAACTAACATGCAATGGTCACATATATGAATACATTTCTTTCTGAGAAAAGAATGGATGTTACAAGACTTCCAACACCGGATATATACACATACACACTAGGGACCTCGGTCTTTGAACCATTCACAAAAGAGGTTGCTGCAGGCAAAGCCATTGAGCTTCTTACTCTCAACCTTGAGGAGTATCATATCCCTAGAGAGTCAAAACTGTCCACTGCTGTAGTTGCAGCTATCGGATTTAAAATGAGGCAAAAGCCAAACAAACGACACATTAAAAACCGCTCTGGGTAAAAATTTGTGACTACTCACGCACAAAGTTATAACTTTTTACGCAAGATGAATTTGAATACGATAAGCTTTGTAAGTGCAACAAGGAAAAAACTAATATTGAATTTAATATTTTTTAGCACAAACGGAACAGTTCTTGGTACATAAGCCTAAACTCATTTTCAAAATTCACCCCAAAAATGTCTGATTTGATCCAACCTATTCCTCATTAACCTGAAAGACAAAAAACTATAGGCATTAAGATGGACACTGCCGTACCTGGCCGCACTGCACTAAGTCACTAGTCACACGTTATCAAACTTCTACAACAATCTACAGCAGTGGGGAACAGCCTGGACAAAGTGGACCACAACACAACACCTAGAGAAGTAAAGAGAGAGCTGGATCAGTCCTGCGGAACGAGGTACCGCTGTAGTAGCCGTTCAACGAGCACACCCTACACCACCAACCCAAGGGAAACAAGAGCTTGCCCTTGCAAAGGCTGAACAATCCTGGAGACTTCAAGCAACTTCTTAACCTACCATTTCTCATTCTGTTTATTTCTACAGTACAACATTATTTTTTTTTCTAGAGCCATATATATAAACAAGCACCAATACTGAATGGACGGGGGGGGGGGGGGGGAAGAGTCACAAAACACTAATTGAAAACTGCCAAAGCATTTTTCAAAATTGACCTTTCTGAGAAAGGACAATGTTTCTATTAAGCTTTAGAGGCATAAATAATAATACATCTAAAGACCCTAAAAATAATTTCAAGCATCTTTTGAGAAAGATTTTTCTTTAAGATTGATTGTTGCAAAGTAAATTTTTATATTGGTGAGCTACATACAGCAGAGTTTAAAAGTATTCATTACTACTTTCATTAGAAAAACACAGATCATTTCTAAAAAATACCGGTCACATAAAAATATATTATTAAAATAGCATGTATGTACATAAAGATTCCTCAGACAGCAAATAAGATCATGCAGTATACACAGATGGTAATGAAAGATGATTCATTTCCCAGTTGGGAATATGGAATTATAGTTGAAATGAGAACCTGAACACACCACACAGCCAGACGCATGTATAAAATACCATACTTTTGCTCCTCCACGCAGACACATTTGCTCACTCAAACTTCTGTATGACCAGAATATCAGGATACCCCAGCCAGTCACCAAACAAAAATATAAATCTTCGAATTTCTCCATCAAAATTTGGAAAGTTTTTTGGGGGGTTTTTTTTGGTCTTCATCATTCCAAAAAACAACTTTTTTTGTTTTTGTTCTCAAAACTTCTCTAAAGTGACAAAAAATTACCAAACAAAAATAATGTTAATTTTCATGATTGATTATGCCTGTGTTTTTCCGGCAGTTGTCAATTTCCAATTTTCAAAACTATTAGAATTTGAAATATAAGGAAAAATTGTCTTAAGCTTTAAATTTTATTTGGTGCACATTACTCGTTGTCCCCACATCAAGGTCACAACAGCAATGCCGTCGGCAATGGCTTGATCTTGGCCACCTCGTGAAAGACACTGAAATGAAACAAAATTGAAAAGTTACGCCCCACATTTTTATTAAGAGTATTATGGCACTTGCAACACAATAAGGAAGGTCATTTAAGTGCCAAAGAATCGATGTGTTACAAGAGGGAAAAATACACAAAAGTAAAAGAGATCAGGACGACATGTTTGATAGGAAAGAAAGAGCAAACCACACCAGAGCACCTGCCATTGCCCCACATTGCAGTACAATAAACAGACGCACAAACAAACAGTTGTCGTTCAAGATATATGAGACGACATACTGTTCACTCACTCAGACAATGGGAAATTCAGTATCAATGTTCATAGATATGAGCCTTTATCATCAGTTCTTCAATTCATCAAGTTTTGACATGCATGAAAAAAAGCTCTAACTTTGTACCTACTAAGAACACATTCGTCTTTTTTATGTAATTGAATACCAGTTCATGAAAATCCAAATCTTACTTGAAAAATAGCATTCCTTTTGCAATAAAAGGACCGCAAAGCCATTCAAAATTTTGGGACACAATTTGAGTAAAGAGAAGCACATTTACACAAAAATGGTAGTTTGGTGCTGATAAAAACAAAGACAGACAGAAAGAACAGAGGGAAAGTAGAGAAGTAGAACCTACCAGTGGCACACTCCAACCACCCGCACACAGAATTAATATATGACTTTCCCTTTGGAATACCATTTTATTCTTAACCCTTCATTGCAAGGGGGTATGCGTTCCTACTGTCAGAACTGATTTTCAGCTGCGCTCATTTCTCAGGACAGCAGCCTAATGTCTCAGCGTTAATGGACGCGCAGTCTAGATCTAGCACACTTGTGACATATTTCTGACACCGGGTCTTCAATTGTCACTTTTCTCACTTTTCTTATTCCCCATTTCCTCCCATCTTACTCATAATTTTGAATAACCTGCATATCTAAGGCAAAAAGTGCATTTATTTGACTTTTCTTAAGTCATTCCATGTTCTCGTTTTACGAGAGCATGCGGCCTCCCGCAAGGCTAGATCTATGTTTGTTTTAGTAAGTTTTTTTTACAGCACTTGCAACACAAGGTCGTATAAGTGCCGAAGAATAGATGTGTTACAAGAGAGGTGTGGTTTGCTTCTTTCCTGTCAAACATCTATCGTCCTTATCTCCCTTTCTTTTTTATGTTTGTTACTCTTGTAACACCCCAAATCTTCTGGCGCTCATATGACCATATGCTGTTGCGAGCTCTGTAAAACCTCTACTAAAACTAAACTAAAAGTGAAACAACTTTGTCACAGGCAGTAAGAATGAAACATAAGATTCATTTTCAACTGTTGACACTCGATTACATAAGCCGTTGCCATGAAAACGGCGGTCATCTTGAAAATTGGATAGACTTTTTTTTTCCCTCCACCATTTCTAGTTTTAGACTTAAAAATTCTCTAACTCGCAAAATATCACAAACAAGTAGGTGCTTGCAGCTGGCTATTTTCATTTCTGATGCTGAGAAAGTATCCAACACTGTTCCCAAATTCCGCGATATGGAATTTGATTTTCAAAAAATATTTTTGGCCTGAAAAAAATTGTAAACCAAACTGTAAAAACCTAACAAGCCCACAACAAGTACAAATTTTTTCTCTAACTGCGGGCCAAATCTAAAGTCTGTGTTGAAAAAACCCCCGCATATGCAAGCAAATAGTCGTGAAAAAGTGTGTTGAGAAAAACAAGTTTTAGGTTTTAGTAGAGGTTTTACGGTGCTCGCAACTGCATAAGGTCATATGAGCCGCAAGGGGTGGATGTCAACAGAGAAGTCCTTACAAAGCAGAGGATCTGGTGAGAGTACTTAAAAAGTAACAGTGTTATGTTGATTCCCAATAGTTAAGGAAACATCCCATACATTACAAACAGCATGGCCACTAGTCACTTACATGTGCGAGTATTTACTGCGGATGGTGGACAACTGAGGGATAGGTCGTGCATGCAGCATTGTGTTGAGGGCCAGGACCATGTCCTTGATTTTCTCCACAGTGTAGCCACTTGATTGCACAACCTCGCCCTCCTGAAACATGAGAACAACATTGGGAACATTACAATGGGGAAGTATAAAAGTATTGCTCTTGTACGACTACCATCTGGGTGTGTAGTCTGGGCCACTGGTCTCAATCTTACTGTAAGTATTGGCAAACCTATAAAAATGATTTGTCTAACTTATTATCTGAGAAGGGCAGATTTCCTTTACTAGTCAGTCAAAAAAAAAAAAAAAAGCAAAGATTCTGATGTCTGAAACCACAAATACACAAGTCAAGCTGATTTTAAAAATATTTTCAAATATCAAAAATGCATGAAGACCAAATCATCACAAGATAATATAAGAGAAATAGAATATCCAGCAGGCCCGCATTTGGTCGCTTTTAAGGATAGGCGGGCTAACCCAGATATCGGGGGTTTCCAGAAATCATGACAGACATCAAAAGTGAGCATTGCCCTACCTATGGAGAAGTTTGGTTTCATTGGTGTGTATATTTGGTTATACAGAAAACTCTCCTTGTATTTTATTTAAAGAAACTGAACAAGGGGCAAAAACTTTACCTTCGAATTTCTCAAAACATTTTTACCTTCGATTTTCTCAAAACATTTTTCGGGATATCCCCCTTGTGCTTAAAAACGATCATTTCTTTTACATGCTATGAAGAGATGCATTTATTACGAAAAAAAACTGATTGAAAAGTCAAGATGAATAACTTAACAGAACTTCCTTCAGGCTACTCAGAGCTGCCAACTATCGAAAACCCTTTTCGGGGACATATTTCCATGATTTCAGTGGACACACTCCCAGTACAGCACGGAAAAAAGCTATGGGTGTGAGAACTAATCCTCACAAACAGTGAGACCAACATGTGACAGAAGGTTAACAACAGGTAACAGAGTTATTAAAGTTTAAAATGCAGAAAATAAAAGAAAGGCATACAGATAAACTGAAAGATTTCCTGTAGTCTAGTGGAACATTATTTTTTAATACATGTAGAATGGCAACTTCAGATCTTATGCTTTAGGTGAAGTTGGCCTAGAGTAGAACTAGATCTAATATTCCCAATAAATGATAGGGGCTTTTCCGAGAACTACAGTGCGAGTATCAATCGTACCAAAATGAGACAAGTAGGACTTGTTTGTGAGGCCTGGCTGCTAAAAAAAACCAAAGCCTCGGCCATTTGTCTTTGTCTCATTGGACCTTTTGCATTGCGATTTGCTCGTCCGGGGATGCAACTGATCTTGCTATTTTTTTGTTTGCTTTTTAATATCGGTAAAAAGTTTGGCCGGCACTTATTTCCTCGCCAAAATCCAAAATTGCAAACTTCTGTGGCAGGGAACTCATTTCCGTGGCACTTGGAAGCTGGATTACTGCCTCTTACTTTTCGCACCATTTGCACTCGAGCTTCAAAGGCATCATTTTCAACTACAAACTCACATTTCAACCCGTTGCTAGTTGAATCTCATTACCAAAAAGAGAAAAGACTAAGACAGCTTAAAGAAACTAACCCATTCTCCTTCTTTGGACATTTTCATGGCAATGTACAAAGCGGCCGCAGCTATGCGAGAGTCTCGCTCTGTGATGAGACTGTACTCCATCAACGACATCTCCAGGATGAAGCGGGCCAGAGTCAGAGTGACCATGGATGAGCGGGCAACCTGAAAACAAAACAAAAAGTAGAAATTATCACAAAGTAGATTTCCTTAACACTACATTTTACATTGATAATAAACAAAAATGTGAACTCTCCAAGCTCTTTATGAATTCATGGTCTACATTTTATACGCATTTGTTACCACTTTGATGGGGATAAATTTAGTTAGTTTAGTATGGGGTTTTACGACGCTCGCAACTGCATAAGGTCATATAATAAATTTGGAACAAGAAAAGTATCACATATATATGTATATAATTTGGGGTTCTTACAGGATCAACCACAAATATAGATCATCTAAAAGTAAAACAGCAACAATCATTGTGAAAATACTATAGATAACTGTCCAAAATTATAATTTGATTTTAACATAAGTATCCCATTGTCAACAGATTGAACAGTCAACTGTTTTTACTCTACCATTGTTTCTGTCTATCAGTCTTGCATTCTAACCCTTATTGAGTAAGTGAATTGTGCTTTGTTTTTTGTTGTTTGAGTAGGCGTTTTACAGTACTACCGACTCAGTGTTGGTAATTGAATTATGCTTCTGGCCCCACAATCATAAACAGTGTGAGTGTTATACAGATTTAAAATGGTTTTTGCAGGATACAGAAGTAATTTTTAACATTAACATTGTAATTTAAATCATTTTTTGTTTTAGTAGAGGTTTTACGGCGCTCGCAACTGCAAAAGATCATATGAGCGCCAAGGGGTGGATGTCAACAGAGAAGTCTTGACAGGGAATCGGGCTTACTCTGTTCACCTCTCTAGCTTCAACAGCATAAAGTCTGTTTCGACTTTCAAGGCACCCCGGAAATAGGTCACAAGAATGTGACAAAACATACAAAAGAAGTAAAGGAAAAATGATGATAGTAAAGACAAGATTAGGAAAGAAAAAGCAGCGGTTCCCTGTTGTAGTTCAGGCACAGTTGTGAGCATGACATTGTTGAATAAGCCCATTTACAATTCTACTGTGCATAAGAACGAGAAATGTCCCCCTTTGGGAATGGCCTAAAGACACCAGATTTAAATTATCTACCACAGAAGAACAAAAACGAGCAAAACAAAAAATACAGGTTTCATTGGTATATCTTTAGATAAAAAAATGACAAGAAAAATGGATAAACTATAAATATCCTATTCTACTGTTACTGGGGGCCTACCAAGCACTCTACTGACACTGACACTAAATGCTAATAATTTACTCAAACCCCTGTTATTGTGTCTGCTGACATAACATGACACGCACACACAAAAAAAAACCCTCTCAATTTTTATGCCAACAGACCTTTGCATATCTGCGCAGAAATCTGTACGATATCGGAATGCCAAGGTCAAAGTCAACTTTACGCAGAATTTCCATCTCCATGAGTATGAACTGATCACGATCAAAGGAGTTGTCACAGATGTATGTGAAGTCTTCAATGAGTGGTGGGCATCGCTCCTGGAAATACCAAAACAATGTATATATCATATTCACAGAGCCAGAAATATGTAAAAAATATATTTAAGATCTACACTAAATCTCAGAGAACAGAATAAATCTTTTTCAGCGTAATCATGAGAGTCAAACTAAAGTTAAGTAAAATACAAATTATGGTCATAAAAGTTTGGGATAATCTGATAAAAGACAGCTAGAAAATGCAGAGGGCCATCCCTCGCTGTACCAGTAGCTACCTGGAAGAGAATAGTTAGCCTTCAGTTCCCTCCCATATAATATGTTATATTGCCAAAAGGTTTTCAGTCTTTCTGGGTTTTTTACTTTCAGTATATTTTTTACAGCACGATCAAAACTTGATAATGTAAATGTCACTAACAGATTTGTTAAAACATGCCTTTCTTTTTAGTCTTAGCAAGGTTTTACAGCGCTCATAGCTGCACAAAGTCATGAGCGCCAAGGGGCGGATGTCAACAGAGAAGTCCAAACGGGGAATCAGGCTTACTCTGTTCACCTCTCTAGCCTCAACAGTACAAAGTCTGCTTTGACTACCAAGGCACCCCAGAAATAGTTCACAAGAGAATGATTTAACATACAAAAGGAGTCGATAAAAAATGATAGGATGAGGAAAGAAAAAGCAGCAGTTCCCCCATGATGTTCCGGCACAGTATGAGCAAGACATTGAATATTAGATCAGCCCATTTCCAATTCTACTGTTCACAAGAACAAGTTAATATCCTTCCTTTGGAAATGGCCTAAAAACAACTTCAGTCAGTAGCACTTCCCGGGGGGGGGTTGTTGCTGTCCAGCCTTTCCATTTTAAGACTAAAAGAACAAACAAATTCTGTCATTAAAAGCCTTTCACTCATTAACTATAGTAATGCACGTTCATATTTCTAACATCTAGAATTTTTTGTTTTAAACCAATTACATTTACAAAATATCTTTAGGTCAATTATTCACCAAACTTTTCTGTCCACTGGCAAATAGTTTGCAAGCCTTACTGGGCTGCAAAAAAATGCAGACATCACAGATGAAAACAGGAGACAAAAATTTCAAGGCACACGCTAGAAATACCATCTGAAACATTCACGTTAGAAACAATTCTAAAAAAAGACCCCCCAAAAAAGGCACATATACAGTACGTTTCCACATTTTTTTCCAACTGCTTGCAAAACGAAAAGCCAGAGACATTAAATTTTTTTTTACAAAATAAACTCACATCGAATTTTGAGGCGATGAACACAGAGGCAGCTCCCACCAGTTGCAGCATCTCCTTCTCCTGGGGCTCACGGGACAGATAGGTGTCGCTCAGCTTGACTGCCAGGTACAGGGTCTCGTGATTCAGCTCAAAGTTCTCCTGGATCTCAACCATCCAGTCCACCAGGATGGCGCGCATGATCGGAGTGATCTTGCAGCTCTTTCCATCCAGGTAGGACGGGATCTGGAACAATTGCTAAGGGGAACACAAAAATGTGGCCGCATGGAATAAACCTGTTGAATCTTGCCTTCAATGGGTAGATTACCGTAGATTCTTAACTACGACTGTCCTAAATTCAAAGGTTAATTTTTTACTATTCTTTCTCAATTTATAGATTTTAGTTGAACTCGATACAAGTTTCAAGTCTCAAAACTATAGACACTTTAGCATTTTTCTTTGCCACTCACTCAAAGTGATCCCATAGACGTGGCTGAGGAAGTAAATTGCGTTATCTTGTTTGAGTAGGTGTTTTACGGCACCCATTGAGTGTCTTTTTCATTAGCTCTTTTCAAATCAATGGGCTAAGAATGCCTCGATCAATTTATTAACAAACTGTGTAGTCAGCTATTTTCACTGGAAAATCACCGTGCAACCTGCTTATATGATAGTGTAGAAATTCAGGGACAAATATTCTTGATTGAGTGGGTTTTTTCCAGCACTACTGACAGTTTCACAAGCGTTACCTATTTTTAAAACTAAAAGAACATTTTCATTTATAAAATTCTTCGTAAATTTGGTAAATATTTCACTTATATATATCTACAATTCTAATAGTAAACGATATCTATGAAATTTTATATTTTGGTAAACAAAAGATGTTGAAATTTCTGATGGTTATAAATGCATAAAACCTAAACGTCCAGACAGGAAGAGAGCAGGCAGGTTGTAAGGTTGTTGGAGTTGTAGGTCCTATTTTTCTGTCCCTCTGTTGTTTCTGTCTAGCTTTTCCCCAGCACTAAATGACATAGTTGAAATAAGGAGAATATTTTCTAGAGAAATAAAATAAAAAAATAAAAAAAGGAAAACTACTCCCAGGGCACTCTCATGCAGTAATCGTGTGAGAACATGTAGATTTAAACTTTTAAAGTGAAATCAAGCTCATTTCTCATAAATTTTTATTTGAATTCATTCAGGGTGAGCAAGAAAAGCAAAAGGAGCAGGCAACATCAGAGTGCCAACAAATTACTTTATTCTCTTCCCAGAATAGGAGGAAAAGGACATCCAGACTGACCAGGTTTCAAGAAAAAATTTGTAGTCTATAAATAAACAATTGGGGGGTTGGTTAAAGTTTTACAGAGCTTGCAACTGCAATATTTTTTTAATAGCATTCCATATTACAAACGAGGCAAAAAACATTCTGTTTTCAAGACCCATAATTGAATTGATAAAATGAATACCTCTCTGCACTTGTAGTAGTCAAATATATCCTGAGCGTAGATGCCAATGTTGAAAACATCAGAATAATTCTCCAGATCCACAGTTGGCATGAACTTTTCCTCAACCTCAGCAATAGGCTCATCCTCCAAGTCCTCCTGAAGAAAAAAAGTCAAGATTTGTTTTCCCTGGATAGAAAAATTTCACATAAAAGATAGGAGGGTCTCGACAAGACTTTCACATCACAATTTGAAACAATTTATCCCAATAAAGCCATCAGGTTTTCTCAGAAATGAACATGTTCATGTCATCAAGAATTCAACAAGCTGAGTTCAATGCTACCAAATATTCACCTTTACAAAATCAACTGTCAAAGACACCTTTAACATTATTTTAAAAACGCGTCAAAAACATTTAACAATCTTTGGTTCAGGCGAAGAAAGAAAAAATATCGCTTCGTCTTTGTAAGTTCATTTTTTTTTAAAACCCAGTAAAACTACCCTTACCGCATCTATAAAGGAAAAGTCCTCCTCTTCTCGGTCCACTGGTACTCTGTGAAGAATGAAGGAACATTTTTTTTGTCAATCAAAACCTGAAGATGTTAATTTTATCTTTGTCCTCACTCCGGCTTTCATGGATTTTCAACAAGCAAATTTCAGATTCTGCTATGTGAAAGCACAATATATTGGCCACATCAAGCCTGGAACAAACTGACAGTCACTTAAACAGTCAAAAGAAGAAGCCCCCCCCCCCCCCCCCCTCAATAACTCACAACTCTACAACAGAGTTACTCTTCTGCTTTGAACTCAAGTCTCAAGACAAACAGAAAAATAGAAACATTAAAAAGTGACTCAAAACATAAGGTGATCATTGTGGGGTTAGGAAAAGTTTTGTTATGGCATCATGAAAGCAGATTAGAAGTTACTCACCCTGCTGCCAAGTTTTTCAGAGCTTGGGATGTCTCATTCTTAGTGGATTCTTGGGAAGAAGCTAAAGCACTGGAAACCGATGAAGTGGAACTGTTCACCTCTTGAGAAGATTTGGCCTCGGTTGCTCTTTTTTTCACCTCTATAGGCTTCTTCAGAGCATTCCTGGGTGCTTTGACTGGTCCTGCAAGGCTGCTCTTGGAGGTGGGTTTGACAAGACCCTGAGTTTTCTTGCCTTCTGCAACCTTTTCCTTTGCAGCCTAGAGTGCAGGTATTGTCCAGAAACAAAATGATGCACAATTGGCATATTTTTCACTTTATCAAATTAATATTTGTCATAGAATTTGTGATGATAAAATAAACCAGATAATAGATTTCTAGTTGATTTTTAAAGCAGCTAAAAGAAAAAGGGAAGAATCCTTCACTGGGCAATCTAAAAAAATAAAAGCAAATTTCTCTTGTTTGAGAAGTAAATAATCACATCTACACATGCACTGTCATTCAGTGTTTGGATTAAAGCAAAAAAAAAAACCGCTAAAGAAATGTGCAACATACCCAAGGCACCCTCCCGACCATCCCACTAGTTTTCCTACAATGTTACAAAAAATACGGTATACCTTGCTGACAAGACAAAATACTAAGAAATGCTCGTGAAGTTGAAGATTGTTCAGTGCAGGCCCAAAAAAAGACCTGGAAAACTTAAGGGTGAAAAGTGCCCTCGAATCAAAATGATATTTTTAATCTCACAATTGTTTAAAAAAATCAGTACACAAAGTAACTGACAGAATTATGGCAAAAAAGTTTTTGTCACAAGAGACAATGGTCAATTATAATTATATACTTACATTCGTGATGTCCCCAAAAGCAGATCGCTTGGTCTGTCCAACAGTTGGTCTCTTTAGTTTAGAGAGGCCTGGTTTCACAGGAGCTTCAACCTGAAGAAAGAAAGGAATACACACATGATAAATTAGTAATTAGACCCAATATTTTTATCTCACAATGCGAATAATCCACCATAACATTCCAAATGAAAATTGCTAGGACACTACAAATTTGTAGGCCTACTCAAGTACTTTAGAACTGAACTGAATGAATTTTTATTTAGATCTAGATCTAGATGGAACAAAAAGTTTTAATTCTACCTCTAGAAGTTGAGCCAAAAGACAAGAAAAGGTAAAACAGCCTATCATTACTATCACAAGAAATCCAGTAATTTGAGTTGTTGATTTCAATAAAAATTGCAGTAACTTTTTATAATGCTGTGCTTTCAAGTCTAAGGCTTAAGTAAGGCCCTTGCATCAGGCTTTCTAAGACTAAAATTTCTTCATAAATCATGAAAAGCCTATGTTACTGTGGCATGCATATATGAATATATATATATATATGGTGTCTATTGATTTGAAGTCACTTCACTGCAGATTTTTTTTACAGTGCTCGCAACAGCATTAGGTGATATATGATGAGCGCGCGGGACACAGATCTAGAATCTAGATCTAGAAATCTAGTCTTGAGTAGAGATGATCTACACAACAGAACTGACTTTCTAAAATTTATTGTCATTAAACCAAGACGATAGATCAAGATCTGAAGCATGAGTCAGTTTTGTCTGCAAGCACACCTTGGCACAGCGGATAGCAAGAGAACGACAACTAAACGCCATTGGCTGATATTTATAGATCTAGTAGTAACAGCCATCTTGTTTGATGTCATTGAGGGATTCCCACTTAGAATCTAGATCTAGATCTAGATCTAGATATCTAGTTGACTTAGATCTAGAGTCTAGATCTAGTCATGGTGGCCAGATTATATGACCGCACGACGGCAGCCTGCTGACTCGGATTAGATCTAGATCTAGATCTAGAATCTAGATCTAGATCTTATTTTCTTTGCAACTTGCAGGTTGTCTGTGATTGTGCAGCACGCTTCTTCCGCCCAGATTTATTCTGATGCCGTACACTAGATCATGTAAACTGAGAAGAAGAAGAAGACTTAGGCCGGCACTCCTTGGATATGGTGGTCCTGACTTTTGTGACAGAAATAATCCAGAGAAAATCTAGATTCTAGAATCTAGTTTTGACCCCACCAACAATTAGATCTAATCTAGATTATCTACTTCTGGTTCTAAACGATTCCTTTTTGATGCGCGTGCCGATATGGTCAATGGAGAGATAGCCTATCAAACCATCAAATCGTGGTCAAATTCAGGGGCCCCCTGAAACACATCATGCTTTTTTTTTAGGTCAGTGGGCCTACACAAAAGTCGGAACCACCATACCCAAGGAGTGCCTCCCGATCATTTCTTTTAAGTTTTGTAAGCACAAGAAGAAATTTTAAAGCACAAGAAAGGAGCTTACAAACTGCCAGTTGAAACCGCGCGCTACGCAAAATCAGCACAAGAATAGGCCTCGGCTTCTTTGCCATGGCCGTGACACACTGAACACAAGGATCTACTGCTAGGCTAGATCTACCCTCTAGGCTAAATCCAATGAGCGACAGACTGTGGTCTACTCTTGTCTTGATACTTACACCTGGAACCTTTTTAGCCCGGAGTCCTCTGGGGAGAGGATCCGGATTCTCAGTAGGTTTTTTACGGGCAAACATGTTGGAATAGTAGCCCAATTTTTCGGTGCAACTCTGCTCCTTTGGCCTCTGATTTTCGGAAAGAACACACAAATTCGTGAAACGTTGGACCAAGCCAGCAGTTCACAACAGCACGGACTGTTTGAATATCGTTCACGGTCACTTTATTCTGATTGGTCGCTAGAGATGTGTTCATCCAATCAAAATATCCTGAGGCCACTCTGCATGCAACAACACCAAATAATATTTTTACAGTTGTCTCCCTTAGTTTCTGAACTTACTCCTTGGATAAACCCTATAATTATAGAAATCTAGTATCTAGGCCCAATTCTGTCAGCCCTCTGGATCCGTATCGAGTTTGACAACTTTTACATTTTGACTGAGTTATTATGTAAGAAATGAAAACAAAATTCTCGTTGTTCTAAAGGAGTTTGATGCAGAAGCCTAATACAAAGAAATCTAAAGGCGAGAAGCAGTTACGATGACGTACTTCCGGCTTCTTATTTGTAAACAATCACATGTGGACACGCCTCCTCCACTTTTCGCCCCCACATGGCTATCGACGGACAATGTACGTTTTCAAAATAGGGTCAAAGTGACATTTATGCTTTTGAGGACAAAGATCCGATTCCAAAATACTAATGGATGACCCGGACTTGAAGTGCAACAGTAACCATGGTTCGGTTAGTAAAATCTTTATTTCTCGTTAATTAAGTTTACTTTGGATTTGGTTGACTGTCACTATCTTAAGTCTTAATAAAGGTCAAAGCAGCCGAAAGGGATTTTTTTCGTTTGTTTTGTTTTTGTTTTTCAAAATCATAATAATTAGTTTAGCACTTACAAAGACAGAAATGGGCTGGGTGCGGGCGGGTCACTTTAGGATTCTTTCTCGCCTGCGGTTATAAAGAGAGACTAAATCTATGGCCAACTGGTTAAGCACGACCTCCTCATGTTTCTTTCTTTCTTTTTCTTTTTCTTTTATTTTTTTT